TCAGACACATTTTAACAATACTATATTCTAATATATCACCTGCTAAATATTAAACTTTTTTATCCGAGTAGTTCTGAACTTATATCTTATCTATTATGTCATTGTGTATTTAATGTGTAACTGTATGCATGTGTCGGATGAAATAGCTCAAAAGAGCTAATCTTTGTATTGTTTTTAATACCGACAATAAATAAAACTTTATTATTATTATTATAAAAGCATTTACATTTACACAAGGTGGCGGAGAATATTAGCTATAACCAACAAGATTAAGACATAAAATTCATAAGTATGCATAAATATCAAGCACATTTTAAACTGAGCGGTGTTCTGAAGCACCAGTACTCGGAAGTGTTACTTTTGACAAGTGAAAATGTATAGATTAATTAAGAAACATTCAACTGCTCAACAATATCTCGAATAGCATAAGTAAAAAATAATTCAAGTATTTTTTATTATTTTTGCCGTAGCACGAATCAGAAACCTGCCAAAATTCCTGAGTTTATACATTATTACTAGAGAACAGTTTAATAATTTTGAATACAGATGGTTGGCAATAAAAGTAAGGCTTGATATTTAAGACACGTAATTCTGAATAAGATGGACATAGTAAAATAAAATGAATTTCATCTTCTATTCCATCACTGTCGCGCAGAGTGTATATTCTTTGAGAAATATTAACACCATGGTATCTACCCGTTTCAACATTCAACTTATGTGAGCTCAGTCTATACTTAGTATCATTTTTATTTCCATAGTTAGTGGTTTGTTAAGGTACGATTCTGTAACAAACCGATCAACTACATGTTTATACAATGTACACTTTGAGGAGCTTTCGAATCTACCTCTTAAGTCTTGAATAAACATCTCCTATATACGTTGCTTATATATCAATAAGAAATACTTTTCATTTGAAACACCTTGTGCCAACCATACTTCACAAAACCAAATCTAAATAAATCTTGTTTCAAATGAAAAATCCAATTTGCCTTACAATTAGGCTTCTTGGTATGAAGATCAACTAATTCATAATAACAAGCTCTTATTACACAATTATCTGTCTTCAAATGTTGAAGCCAATACTTAACAATAGTAACCTTTCACTGAACCTAATAAGGAAAGCGACCTAGTTCGAAATAGAATCATTAACATTTTTCTTCACACCAAAAAGAGATTTTAAAAACGACAAATGTACCTTTTCAATCTGTGGTGCTATACCAAAGCCCCAGACCTCGCAACCATAATTCAAAATACATGATACGTACGTATCAAATAATGATAACTTAGTTTTTACATTCAAACTTGTTAATCATACGATTGAGGAGATAATACGCCTTTCTACCTTGTGCAGCTATGTTAGTATGTGTTATTGCAAATTTACCGTTATAATTGTATACCACTCCTAAATAACAAAATTGATCTATAATCTCTATATTTTTTCTATCAAAATACCACCGTTCATTTGGTAATAATCGTTTACTTTTCGTCCGGCTAAAGTATAAAAGAAATGACCCATACCTCGAGCTTTGTTTGCTCTAAATGTCAAGAAAAGAATACCAAACAATGGAATTGGCTGTAAAATCTTGGCATACCCTTTTTTAGAAGAGGGAAGCCGTTTATTTTTAACCTAGTTTAATTAACACGTATATATAAAAATTTCATAATTACATATTTGGAGCAAAGGTGAGCGAAACTACTCCATACTGGCGTAGGAGGCCAGGTGCCATCCAAGAGTTTACTTTTCCTGAAAACTACTAACTTGGTCTTCTCGACATTCAAGGTCAAGTTCCAATGATCCGATTAACTCTTCAAAAAATCCAGAATATTTTGGAGCTCAACAATGTCTTCAGAAAACAGCACAGTATTATCTGCATACATGATTAAAAACAAATTAAGGAGTTGTATATGATAGCTTTGACAATTGGATACAAGAAGTTCTGATTCCATGCCATTAACAAACAAGGAAAACATAATCGGTGATAAAGATTCACCTTGTAATAAACCGACTTGCAAGTCGTACATTGGAGACAATTTACCATGCAACTCCACGCACGACTTCACATTTTCATATAGTGTGACGACATTGGATGCGTTTTTCCAGTACCGAGAAGTAGCGACACTCTTTGTTTTGGACATAATGAATGAAACTATATTTGTTAAATCCTCGCTCCGTCAACCAGAGTTGGTTCCACAACAAACTCATACAAGTTCTTGAAAACAGCAAGAGACATATCTCCTGTGAATTTAGATTTGGAATAAAGTGCCAAAACTGTACGAGCGGATTTCGCGAGTTCACATTCAGTTATTCCCATATCCCAAAAATTCAGATCCTTTCATATCAATCGGAAATTAGACACCATTGTAGACTTGTTCCTGAGATGGAGTTCTACTTAGCCCCGGATGCTTTTGAACAAATTTTGTTAAAATATCTTCTTCGCATCAGAAGAAGGATCTTAAATTGATTCCCCCTTTTTTTGCCGTATTGGATCCCACTCCTCTTGACCCCACCCCCTCGCGGGATTAGGATAGTAGTTGGCCAGACCAACAGCTCAATCAGATTCGAGTTCTATTCACACAAGTATACTTCAGACCAAATTTTGACATAATCCCGAGTCATTTCCGCGGCAGAGGAAGAATTATATATATATATATATATATATATTATATATTTTTATTTCTTTTTTTTTTTTACTAAATTTCCCCTTTTGAGCCTTACCCCCAGGCCCCAGGACCGACAACCAAATTTGCTTTCTGAACAGATTTTGTTTATACGTTTTCATTCCAACAGAAGACGTTTAAAGCAATAGGTCCTAAGCTTCTGTCTCCAGTGGAATGAGAAACCATATCTTATACAGATAATAATACAATACAATTTTTTTAACTATATATAATGTGTCCCCCTCATCCAAAGATGCTTAGGAGGATAAAATCCTGCCAATTCCATAAGTCCAAGTTCAACGCATGGTGGATTTAAATAATTTGCAACCGATCTTCAGTATTTCTCTTTTGGATCCGCCCTCAGTCCCCATGAGGTCAAGTCCTACTATTCATTCAAAACTGTTTTCATTTCCCATATGGATGCTTAACCCAAGGTTAAAATCCGCTCAGTCGTTCATGATAAATGGCGATGTTTAAGAGAAAATGTTGACGGACGAGGGATAACGCACACTGGTATCCAAACTATTTAAGTACTCGTATGGAACAATTTCTCAGGTCCCTTGGCATCTGAAGAAGATATTAAAACACCTTTGCATTTCTTAGTGTATATAGTATAGTGATGGAAATGCTGTGTCTTTACAGAAATTTTAGAACATAGGCTCTACCCGCGAAACATTGGTAGAATATAGGAGATGGGGAATGGGTGAGAGTTGTCACCAGCCCTGTTCTATTTCTAGTTTTCAGTTCTTTTCCGGATTTGGCATGCCCGGGTATGATTTAGACTGTAAGCACTCCTTGAAAAGATGGCTGCGTCCACGAGAAACTCCTGAAAGGTAAATAGACTTTGATCGCGAGGCTAAATCTCGCTTGATAAAGCAAATTAATTACCAATGCATACAGAACGAAAAATAGGCATTTGAAGCTAAGTTTCTACATGGTCTTAGTATTCAATGCTTCCAGATTGATAGGTAGTTTGCATTTTGTTTGGATTTTTAGGTTATCACGCTTGGTTACCGACTGTATAAATATTTAAGGGTCGGGCCATTTCTGTACCAGGTTGTATTGGTACTCTCTTTTCACATAAAATGACACTCTAACTGTGTAAATCATTTTGCCCTTTGTCCTTCTTGTTTGTTTTCACATTAAAGAGTTAATTTTTTTCCGAATATGCCTTAAACATGATTGACTTTTCGTCGCTTTCCTTGATAATTCGGTGGATGGTGATGTACATGTCAGCATCTGGTTTATGAGTGACAACAACCGCCATAAAGCGTTTTCATATAATAGCCTTTAAAATATATCATAAAGTTTGCGATATCAAGAGTTAACTTTTCCTCGATTGTCGCTGGCACATGTCTATTGCATATCACACTTGCGATCATCATCTTCAAACTATATATCTAAGAATACTTCATTGAATTAGTGACGCCAAGAGATATATTGTTAATATGATCATAATACATTAGTGTCCTAATTTGGTAAATAAGTGTATTATGGTCTTCTGATGTCGCTAACTTCATTGAGTATTTTAAAGATACAGCCTGAAGATGCTTCACTACAATCCATGTGATTTGTATAAAATGTACACGCGTCATACTTCTTTGTCTTTGCATATTTTGACTGAATGCACCCTGGATTATATAGTGGGTTTATCACATGTCCATGTTGGCCCAGTAAAGCTCTGAAATTCTTTACTCTTCTATTGATATCCGCACATCTTTTGCTTATAAACATCTTTCATTTCAATAATTTTCATTATTTGAAGAGATGTTAATTTCTTAGCTTCCAAAATCACCAATTTTCAAGAGGTTAGGACCCCATAAAAATGTTTGTACAGCTGATTAAACACTATGCAAAGTGTGCCTTGATGATGACCTAGCTGCCCATATGAAGCCGAAGTTTTTCGTCCTACACCATTGGCCAATTGCTATGGATACCATACAGTGAACTGCATATATAGTATTCAGTTATGTAGCTATATCCACCTGCTAGTTCCAGAAGATTCTACCTCAAAATGACCTTGGTATGGGATGATAAACTCAGAAAAGGAATAGACAAAATTAAGGTATTGATGTATGAATATTTTCCTTTCCAGATTTACACTTCAGACTGCTGATTGTCACTTCACATATCAAATGATGTCTACAGTACAATGGAAGAGGTCTCATATTGTGGCCATGGCAGTCTCTGTCGTCTTAGTGATCTTTATCCTGTACAGTAGTATATAGTCACTCTCTATATCTACTGTCCACCCAAAATGACCTTGGTAGTAAAAGAATAGACAAAATTAAGGTATTGATGTATGAATATTTTCCTTTCCAGATTTACACTTCAGACTGCTGATTGTCACTTCACATATCAAATGATGTCTACAGTACAATGGAAGAGGTCTCATATTGTGGCCATGGCAGTCTCTGTCGTCTTAGTGATCTTTATCCTGTACAGTAGTTCTAGTCACTCTCTATCTACTGTCCACCCAAAAGCTCCTAGCAGTAAGACAATGAAGCAGCTTAATACAGTCTACTCTCATTGGCCAAGACTACAATTACCAGACAATGCTTTGGATGTATATGTAAGATCCTCTTGTGTTTACTGTCTCTCAATTTGTATGAAAAGTTACGGGAAAACCCTTTTCAAAAGTACTATGTTGGATTTTTGCTGTTACTGACATAGCAAAGCCAGCAAAATGGATATTTCATGACAATGTGACTTATTGCTGAAAATATCAAAGTGCAGAAGGGTTATTAATTTTTGTATTTCTTGTAAAACTTTATAAGCAAAAAATATCTCTGTCTTTTTTGTACCTTTTATTGGAAATCAAGGTCACTATGCCTTAAATTTGTTTTGAAAAATGTCAGTTATAAGAACAGCTTCAATGATTTTGTGTTTAGTAAGTTATCTATAAAAAATCATTTACCAAGAAAGTATCATCGTTATTGTGACTTCATATCCACGGGATAGTGATTAAAATTTCTATAGATGTTATGTAAGAGAATATCTTGTATGAGTTGATGTTTCAGGGTTTCTTATGTCCAATCACCATCAATTTTGTTCTTGTTTAATTTCATTCCAGACTAACTTCAAGAAAGATTGTCTTCAAACATCATCATCATTGACTATGAGTCTGGCTGAAATCCAGCAGATTAAAAAAGATTGGTCAATGGCTACTGATTCTCATTGCAGGTCTGTTTTATAATCCTGTCCCAGGTTGATGAATGTTGCTTCACTTGAAGTGACAATTTATTTAAGTTGGATATTTTTATAGCTAAGTCCTTGAAGTTTGATATCCTAATTCATATGTCCAGCTTGTAAACATTTAACTCAGAGATGTTATACTGAAGGCTCTCCTGACATCCTGAAGTGACATCATGATAAAAACATTGTTTTTTTTATTGATTGTACATGTTCTATATACTTCCAGTTACATTTCTATGCTAATAACAAAAGTTGATTTCTGATGTCCAGCATGACTACTTCTTTGGTTTGGGAAACTCCTCTCAACTTTAGTGCTGATAATGTTAAGTGATAGTTTTGAAAATGAGACAGTTTATTTTGTAAACATAAATACATGAAGACATGCAAAAGAGTGACACAGTCAGTAAAATCCTGTTTTTCAGCACAGGATTTTGTTAAATATGTAACAGGATTTTGTTAAGTATTTAAAATAAAAATATTGTTTTACTGTGATGTCACTTTAAAACAGCTCTCAATACATTGTTGATTATGTGGTTTTGGTGGCTGTTCATAAACAATAGTTGACTTGGTAGAGTGAAGGACAGTGAATCAAATAAGATTATAATGACCTGACCTACTTTTAAAATCACTGAAATTAAATACACAAAAAAAAATTCTAAAAAATGATTCTGAAATAACTGACTTAGTCCACAGGTAACTCTGGTGTAACACTATTGGTAATTCATATCATGTATTTCTCAGCTAGAGAAAAGTTCTCTTTAGTTCAGTTGGTTGAGCATAAGACTAATAAACCACATGCCCAGATTCCAGATCCTAGTAAAGACACTGAAATATAAACAATGACTGCTGATAAATTGGTGCCCATGTAGGGACTTAGGAATAATAATGTCCCATAAGCGTCACTGCAACCCCTGAAAACTTGAGAACAAGTTTTTGAGTGGAGGAAGAGTATGTAACCCACCGATATGATACTAGCAACGATAGACCACTTGGCGAGAAAAACTTCCTGGTTACCTCAATCAGTTAAGTGTTAGAATAGTAAACCAGATCCTAGTGGAGGCATTCAAAAAATGACCTTTGTTACATTGATATAAATTGTGTTATATCTGATCTGATCAGAGACCTGACCTCAGTTTCATGAATCTTCTTTCACTTAAGGAAATCTTAACTACCACAGAAAAACATTACGTAAGTTTAAGAAAAACTTAAAGGAAATTTCCTTAAATTATGTAATGCATATTGGCAAATTAGAAATAGAAAAATTTCTGAAGTTAAGGAAGATTTGTGATTAAATACCTATTGATGACCCATTCCCAAGGTTACGAGGTATTCAACTCTGTTGAATGCTTCAAACAGCAATAACGTTTGTCAAAATATATTACTGTTATTCATTTTGTAGGTGTGAAATCTAGTGTGAAGTTAGATATTGGGCTTGCTTAGATGGAAGATTATAAAATTTGGTCCACAACTTTTACTTTTTTTTAATGTGACAATGTCAAATGGGTCAAAAGGAAAAAAATGCAATCATCATGTACATCAGGTAAAATTAATCTGTCTTCTATATTGTTATTCTGTTTATTATACGTTTTCTAGACAGAGGTGTAAAACCAGAAAACTAATGTACAGTTATGTGATTTTAATCTTTTCAGAGATTTGTACAAAGCCTTTACATCCATCTTCACCATAACAGATTTCCCTGCCCGAGTGGTCATACCTAAAACATACGAGTCTAAAGTCCGTAAATGGCTTGGAAATAATGATGCTCTCTTTCAAAATGCCAAACATCAGGTAAATAGAATTGGGAAGGATTCTGAATGAATGAAATATGAAAATCCAAATGTTTAAGATTCCTAGAAAAAACTGAAAACAACTATATATTAGACTGATATGATTTAAAAAACTTATTTTCAAAAGAATGCATGTAACTTCAGTGAAGAAAAACTGTCTGTTGAATGTGCTATTGGTGATGAAGTGGATTACGTATTGCTTGTGATGTGAAAATGTCATTTCTTGTTATCATGTTACTGTGATTAAATTGTTATTGCTTTTCTCAATAATCTGTTCCATGTCATCTTGGTCTGAGAAATTATTAATTTAAGATCAGAGGATACATAATATACAAAACAGATAAATCATGAGATGACACATAATAAATAACAGATAAATGATCAGATGACACATAATAAATAACAGATAAATGATCAGATGACCTACAATAAATAACAGATAAATCATGAGATGACACATAATAAATAACAGATAAATGATCAGACAACACACAATAAATAACAGATAAATCATGAGATGACACATAATAAATAACAGATAAATGATCAGATGACACATAATAAATAACAGATAAATGATCAGATGACACATAATAAATAACAGATAAATGATCAGATGACACATAATAAATAACAGATAAATGATCAATGATCAGATGACACATAATAAATAACTGATAAATGATCAGATGACACATAATAAATAACAGATAAATGATCAGATGACCTACAATAAATAACAGATAAATCATGAGATGACACATAATAAATAACTGATAAATGATCAGATGACACATAATAAATAACAGATAAATGATCAGATGACACATAATAAATAACAGATAAATCATGAGATGACACATAATAAATAACAGATAAATGATCAGATGACACATAATAAATAACAGATAAATGATCAGATGACACATAATAAATAACAGATAAATGATCAGATGACACATAATAAATAACAGATAAATGATCAGATGACCTACAATAAATAACAGATAAATCATGAGATGACACATAATAAATAACAGATAAATGATCAGATGACACATAATAAATAACAGATAAATGATCAGATGACACATAATAAATAACAGATAAATGATCAGACGACACACAATAAATAACAGATAAATCATGAGATGACACATAATAAATAACAGATAAATCATGAGATGACACATAATAAATAACAGATAAATGATCAGATGACACACAATAAATTACAGATAAATCATGAGATGACACATTATATATAAATGATAAATGCCCAAAGTTTCTGCTGTTTTAAATTGTGATAAGTTTTACCATGATTCTACAGTTTTTTAGTTTAAAAAATGTGTTTCTGTTGCTTGTTTATTTCAGACTGTCCTTTATGTTTACAATGAATACACAAAAGAAGAAAATGTGTTTAACCCACTGCGAGAGAAAAGGCCAATAGCTAAACCTGATCAGCCAGAGAGAGAGTAGTGAGTAAAAATAGTCATAGGTTGTTTTAACGGAGAGACAATAGTGATTAAAAATAGTCATAGATTGTTTTAACAGAGAGACAATAGTGAATAAAAATATTCATGGATTGTTTTAACGGAGAGACAGTGGTGAGTAAAAATAGTCATAGATTGTTTTAACAGAGAGACAGTGGTAAGTAGAAATAGTCATAGATTGTTTTAACAGAGAGACAGTGGTAAGTAGAAATAGTCATAGATTGTTTAACAGAGAGACAGTGGTGAGTAGAAATAGTCATAGATTGTTTAACAGAGAGACAGTAGTGAGTAGAAATAGTCATAGATTGTTTAACAGAGAGACAGTAGTGAGTAGAAATAGTCATAGATTGTTTAACAGAGAGACAGTAGTAGAGTTTAGAGAGACAGTGGTAAGTAGAAATAATAGTCATAGATTGTTTAACAGAGAGACAGTAGTGAGTAGAAATAGTCATAGATTGTTTAACAGAGAGACAGTGGTAAGTAGAAATAGTCATAGATTGTTTAACAGAGAGACAGTGGTGAGTAGAAATAGTCATAGATTGTTTAACAGAGAGACAGTGGTAAGTAGAAATAGTCATAGATTGTTTAACAGAGAGACAGTAGTGAGTAGAAATAGTCATAGATTGTTTAACAGAGAGACAGTGGTGAGTAGAAATAGTCATAGATTGTTTAACAGAGAGACAGTGGTAAGTAGAAATAGTCATAGATTGTTTAACAGAGAGACAGTGGTAAGTAGAAATAGTCATAGATTGTTTAACAGAGAGACAGTAGTGAGTAGAAATAGTCATAGATTGTTTAACAGAGAGACAGTAGTGAGTAAAATTTTTTGTCCAATAAAGTCTTTTCTGGGAGCATTCATCAGTTCCACTGATATTCTTGTTCAACTGATTAACTGCCTCTCAGCGAATGTGAGGGGAATATCCTTTTTAGGTCATCTGGTCCAAAGGGTAAAGATGACCTATTCCTGTCATGCATTATCTGTTGTCATCCGCAGTTGTTAACTTTTCATTTGAAACACTACACTTGCTTAACGCTTTGGCAGATTTCAACCAAATTTGGTCTGAAACATCAGAAATGTGATTGACAATATTTTGCTTCAAAATACTACTTTTTCTTAATGCTTGAATGAATTTCATCCACATTTGATCTGAAACATTCATTTAGGGTGAGAAATCATTTCATAAATTCAGAAAGTTTATTCAACCCCTAGAGATTTAAGGTGGTTGGGGGGGGAGGCCCCAAAAGGGAAAATTAGACAATATTTTGCTTCAGAATACTACTTTTTCTTAATGCTTGAATGGGTTTCAACCAAATTAGAACTGAAACATTCATTTACAGTAGGAAATCATTTTGTAAATTTAGAATGTTGATTAATCCCTAGGGACTTGGGGGTGAGCCCCATAAAGGAGAAATTAGGCAATATTTTGCTTCAACAGTCAGCACTAGGATAGACAGTGTCATCCTCAGAGGGAGGTCACATTCTCTCATTGACTATAAATGCTAAATGGCAAGTGACAACAATATAGACACATTAGAACTAAGACTGATTAAAAAAATACCCCATAAATGGATGATAGTATCAATGTTATGTCCCTAAAGAGAGGCAACCTACTCATGTTGATGTTAGATGCTGCTTGGTGGTGGACAATGGCACAGACACATTTGGACTACAGAAGTCTATAAAACTACTCAACAATCAGATGATAGGACAGACTGTTCCGTCACAACTAGAAAGGCACACCTTAGGTTGATAGTTGTTGCTTCATAACCAGTGACTGAGAACTCGCTTCTATAAATTCTGCATTCCTGATCACAAGAAATTGTATTTTAATTCCCTTAATTTCTATATCATTTAGTTGTTTTTGGGTCTATCATGGACGTTACCAATATATTTTACTTTTGTAGCGTTGAAGAACTTTACAAGAAGACTAAGCCTACCTGTGATTTCTGCAAGTACAAAGAGTAAGGCTTTGATTTCACGTTAAGAAATTCAGGAAGCAGCGGTTACATAAAATTAACCTCTGTACTTAAGATGAACTTTTATTTCATGTGTATTTTCCCCTTATGGAAGGAAGATAGAGAACATTTACTAGTTGTCATTTCTTTATTAAAAGTAGCTTGATATATTTGATAAGTACATGTGTCAAAATTTGATGGAGGATGTGTTTGTAATTGAATTTTGATGATCTGCATTCATGGATTTACAGAAATACTGCAGAGGATGTGTTTGTACCTGAATTTTAATGATCTGCATTCATGGATTTACAGAAATACTGCAGAGGATGTGTTCGGACGTATAGAGTCAAAGCTGTCTTTCTCTGCAGCCAACACGTTCAAGCTTGGGGCGTGGCATACACTGATTCTGCCTAAAAAACATCATCCCTTGAACTGGACTAAAGAAGAGTACCTTGATCTCGCGAAAACCTGTATAAAGTGGTTTGTGATTTACAGTACATTGTATGGAACAATTAAGAATAACAAATAGAAATTGAACTTTTTGTAATATTGATATATATATAAGACTGTGTGTCTTTCTTTTAATCAGCGGGCGTGGGGGATAATGTCACGCTTTGTGTTACCATGTTGAGGTGCAGTTAGTGATGGTGAATTTAATGAACGTTGACAGGTAATGCGAAGTATGTTATTGTTCTGGTTTGTACTTGTCACTTATTTCAATTAAATTTTAATACATATTTTAGGATAGACAAGGCTCACGAACAGAACAAAGCCTTTGTGTACCCTATGTTGATAATGGATCTACTGCCACATGGAGGAGCTAGTCAGATACATCCTCACATTCATGCGTTTCTGGACCGAGACCGATACCAAGGTATGCTAACCATTAGTTCCCTTAAAGCCCCGATCCCTCTTGTACCCTGCTGACCATCAGCTTTCACAGATCCCCTACCACTTCTTTCACCTTGCAAACATCAACTCCCACAAAACCCCTTTCCCTTTTGTACCCTGCCTACCTTCAGCTCCCACAATCCCCTACCACTCCATTACCATGCCAACCATCAGCTCCCACAAAAACCCTTTTCCCCCTCTTTTACCCAGTCTACCCTCAGCTCCCAAAAATCCCCTACCACCCCATTACCATGCGAACCATCAGCTCCCACAAATGCCCTACCACTCCTTTACCTTGCCAACCATCAGCTCCCACAAAACCCCTTTCCCTCATTTACCAAGCCTACCCTCATCTCCCAAAAATCCCCAATCTCTCTTTTACTCTGCTGACCATCTGCTCCAACAAACCCCCTATCCCTCTTAGTCCCTACCTACCATCAGCTCCGACAATATCCCTACCACTCCTTTAACTTGCCAACCATCAGATCCCACAAAACCCCTTCAGATTTTCATGAAAATTGCTCAATGTCACTACTACAATGGGTAGATGTGCATGAAGGGGCAATTTTTTGGTTCATTGATTTTTGTAAGATTTATGCCATTTTCAACTTTGTGTCTGCAGCTTGCTCTTAGTGGAGCTTTGCATGTTAAAAGTGATAATTAAAAGGACCAATCTTCATCTTTATATTTTGTGGCGGCATGTATTGTGTCAACGACACTCTTGTTTTATTCACAGTTACATTATCTACTTAAATAAAACAAGCTTTGTTTTGTATGGATGAAAGATGAACATATTTACTGATATTGAAAATAAAGATCTGTTGCTGAATTCATTTCAAGTAACTTTATTCAGAAAGAGTAATTGTTTTTTGTCCTGTACTTTTACGTGGTAAAGATTATTATATGTGTTCAACTTTGACCCATTTCAGGGTCAAATAAAATAAATTTTTGCAATTTATGTCAATTAATATCTTCTCTTATGAGATATACGAACCACCAAGATAAAATACATTTTCATTTAACATGAAATTAGAAATGCTAATTGATGATGAACATTTGATATCAATTTGCACAGGAGCAATGGAGAACTGGCGTATTGGTGCTCAGCGCTATAGCGAGGACTTTCCAGGCAGGAACTACTTCACTGATCTTATATCTGTCCACTCTGCACTGGGATTAGGAGTTACCTTTGGAAAGGCTGTTGCTTTTGCAAGTCTTGTAAGTTTTTTTCTTACCTCGTACGTTTTTTGCTGACAGAATATAGGATGTTAAAATGGAAAGTTTAGTCAAAGGATTGATATTAGTCAATGAAAGGAAGGTGTATGAAATTGGGGCCTGATTCTGTAAAGGTCACTAGCAATGAACAGGTGAAAAGTAATAAGATATGTCTGAAAAAGTGATCTGTGTATTACACGATATACAGGTAGCACTCTTTCTATTCATTTAAAGTGGATGATTTCTTTAAATGTAAACCTTGTTTGATTATTAACAAATCTAGTGAATTTTGTTAATTTTTGCTCTACAAACTGAAATTGTACAAAAAAATGATTATGATAAGATTTAGTGAGTTTTCTTAAATTTTGCTCTACAAACTGAAATTGTACCAAAAAAATCATTTTTGATTGTGAGATGTGTAGTAAACATTTTATGTAGGATTTAGCTTAAATTATATTTATATTCAATATTTAACAATATTACATATATAGGTGGGATATACATGGGATGGGAAAAAAACAGAGCTTATATTAATCTCTTTATGTGCGATTAACATTTCTATCCACTTACTGTAAGTTTGATAGACTGATAATAGTTTATCAGGGTGTAATAAAGTTCAACAAACATAAATACATGAATTCATGTCATTACATTGATCAATCTAATGTACACTGTTTAGTATATAGGTTTACATCAGTAAAGAGAATGCATGACCATCAAACAGGAACCAACAAAAAGAGTGAATATTGATTACTTTATGTTAATCTTGCCCACTGATCACTCTCAGTTGTCAACAGATTTCTTCAGTCTTAATAGGCTGAATTACCATGACATGAAATGGTATTTTCTTACACATTAGTTTGATTAACAATTTTTTGAAATTTTAAACATTTAACAGTGTACTGTAAGTTAATTCTGCTACACTTTCATTAACACTTGATCCTAGATGTGCAAGTGTCTTTGGTCCCCCCTGGTCCCTGTCATCTGGATCTATCTTCTGAATCTACCATCTGGATACCTAGCAGCAGACCAGTACTAAACAGGGACGAAGGGGGCCACAGACTCGCAGTGGTCATTTGTCTGGTGAAGGTGACCATGTAGTCATGGAAATATTACACACTAATCTTCTGCTAGTTGTGTTAAATGAAATTCTATTCTACTGACATTACCAACCGGAAGAAAATGGTTCAAAATAAGAGTTTTCAACCAATATCTTTAAATCTTGGTAAAATTTAAAACCACAACATGAGATTGAGTTCTTGTGGATAACATTTGATTCAGTACTTTTCATTATTTTTATCTTGTCAAGAGATTTCTTTCAGTTTTCTTCTCATCTCTTTAAAGTTTCTTATGCTTTCATTTATCGTTCAAACATATAGCTGTGTTTTCACTTAGTATTACCATTTTCATATTTGTATTCTTTTAAATACACCAAATCCTGAATATTTTTTTTGAACATGGGATGGGCAAATATTGTTCCACCCCACAATACTCTAACCTAGAGCATTTTTCCTTGGCTGGCCCTATCACAAATGGATTGCAAAGTAATATTTAGAATAGGATTATTCCATGACTAGAAGCTGTTAAACAAAATGGTTGCCTCTATTTGATGTTGTCCTCCACATTTTAGATTTAAAACCTGTCAAATTGTAAATTTTCTGAGTCATGTGATAAAAATTGTCTTAAATCTGTTTCTATTTAGTATGAAATCTTATGAAACTCATCTCAAAGTTTGCAAAAATATAAAAAATGAAGATTGCTCTCATAAAAATCTCCTATAATGAAAACTTGTTTATGGTCCTAAATATATAAGTAAGGGTGGTCAGATTTTGTTCAGATTTCTGTTGTTTTGCAGCTTCCTAAAAGGGACAACGAGGTAGTGATTATCAGTGAGGAGCCAGGTGACGACTATTTCAAGCTTATTTACTTTGTTTATAGAGGTTTGTATTGTTGTTATATAAATACTCCAGAATTATATCTTGTGAAACCTCTCAAGGTAGCAAAGAGTTGTGGCTTTTTAAGGAAGGTGACCTTTTTATAAAGTTCATTTATAGTTCTATACTCTATATTGAAACACAAAACATGTGACGTTCATACACATGTACAGTTTAAATATGTGACCATGTATTGTTTGTATATTACAGGTGACCTTTATAGACATGTGTTTGTATATTACAGGTGACCTTTATAGACATGTATTGTTTGTATTTTACAGGTGACCTTTATAGACATGTATTGTTTGTATTTTACAGGTGACCTTTATAGACATGTATTGTGTGTATATTACAGGTGACCTTTATAGACATGTATTGTTTGTATTTTACAGGTGACCTTTATGAAAATATTTTGTGTAGTTCCAATTTGAAAAGATTTAGGATACATATTATTCCATGACCTCGTACTAACCTCAGAATCAAATCACAGTAACAATGTCCTTTAGCAAGCTTGGGCTTGTTAAAGAGGAGATTCCAGGATTGAAGCAAGTAACGTACATAATACCAGCAACACACTTTATTTTGATAGTGAGTTCAAAGATCCATAGACATCAATGATTTTAAGTGCAACGATTTTGTATTTTGTATTTCAGCATTTCTTGATGATATGGAGAAGCTGTGCTATAGTTCAGGATATGCATTGCCAAGTCTGGTTTGTATAGTCCTCCACATTTATATAACTCTAGTAATAAGAATAACTTATTATTCCCTGCCTAATGCCTTTGATGGGGAAGGGTTCTGTCTGTCCTTCCATCCATCCAGATGCTGCTGTCAGCAAGATATCCACAAGGACTAGTCAGATTTTAATGAAACTTGGTTGATACACTTGTTACTTTAATCCCATGGCCAAGTTAGATTAACAGCGACTTCCAGATATACCTAATGAGACCATATTGGCTGATTTCTTTAACAAATCTTGGATGCTGCTTTCTGACTGATATCTTTTGAAGCACTGTTATTGAAGAAACTTGGATGATGCACTTGTTACCTTAAAATTTGTTTAAACCTTTAAATGACTTCTTCCCATGAACTAAAAGGCCTAGAGGCATAACATTTGTTTGGTATATTTTATGAGACTGCTGTGACCTGATTGGCTGATATCTTTTGGCACTCTAAGTGAATGCTCTCAGAATGTTATCTCTCGAAGGAACGAATGAATTATGATGAGACTTGCTTGGTAGATTTGTTACCTTAACCCCTTGTTCAAGTTAGATTATCAGCAAATTCTGCACATGTTTAATGAGGCTGCTGTGACCTGATTGACTGATGTCTTTTCCAGTTTTCCATGTTGCTCGCTTTAAATGTATATATTTTTATATTGAATATTGGCAGAGGATCTTGAAGACTATGTCCTTGTTTTCTTTGCACTGGGACTAAAATGCACTTCCTTCTATAACTCTGTATGTCTAAAACTTTGTTATATTTGTACCAGGTACATATATCAACATGCATTGTATTGTAATCAGACAGATTATCAAAAATTATCAGTTATTGGAATTTAAAATTATGTCAATATTAAGAGAATTTATTATCAAATCCATTGTCATTATAAAATTTAAAATAGAATTTGTCTGAAGTAAACTTCAGAAGATATGTTTTCTTGTCTTTGTTATGTTGACATTCATGGGACTTTATCTGTACTGATGATAAGTGTTGAAATTGTAGGACAAGGTCAATCCAGGCCGTCTACCTGCTTACACCAGGATAGTGACCCGCGGGGCTGTAGCAAGTGTACGCTCAGAGACAAGCTCCCTGGAACTCTTTACTGTAAGCTTTATCCATTATTCTGTATAACCACCAAGCAGTAAGCTGCCCAAGCGGCAAAATATATGCAGAACATGTTGCACAAAGCAGTACAAGCACTACACACAGTAATGCATAATTCTTGTGTTTCTATTCATACTGTGTACAGATAAATGTACTTGTCCTCATAAATTGTATGTGTTGCAGTTATGCATTTTTAACATAAGATCACATTTTGCTTTCTTTACAGTCTCAAAATGCTAATACAGATCCATATCGGGTGATTGATTATGTGAGGAAATCCATTGCCAAGCGATCATGACCAAGGAAAAAGATCTACAGTATCATTAATATGTTACGATGAGATTGTTTTTATGTATTTTTCACAACAAATATCTATGCACTGTTAAAAGGGTAACTTAATCTGAGAGAACATTGCGTCTTCTAGTGTAACTGTATATGATAGTTAAACATGATACAAATACCCCGGGTAGGTGATGTTCTTTTCATATTGGTCGATTAGAGTTTGTTACTATTAGAATTCTATATAAGTTATGTTAAGGAAGAACTATGAGTAATTCAAACCATTCTAACAATATGACATCAGTTAAATTTTGATAGGCAGTACTATGTTATGATGTTGTTTGCCTGTCCATCATCATTTTGAATGGCAATCTATATATTTTTAACTGATCTCGTTGTAACTTAATAGGCTTAATAATTTATTTGACATTTTTTTAATGTCCCCAAATCACAAGTTTGGGGGACATATTGTTTTTATGTTGTCTGTTGTCAACTTTAACCTTGCCCATAAAAATTGCATTGTAAGAGGTAGGTCTTTATATTTGGCATGTGTGTTCCTTGTGGCAATACCGTTCTGGTGGTACCAAAAGTATTGACCAAGTGACCTTGACTGTAAACTTTGACCTACATTTGAAAGTAACAAAAATAAAAAATACTAAGAAGACCAAAATGTTTCACAAAGTGTGCATGCAATTAGCACATGCATTACTTAGTACAGCTTTAATGTCCCACTTCACAATTTTATTGCAACTGGGATCAGTTATAGTTTTTCATATTGGTTTATTTTGGGGCTTAATCATTATAACTACAGGTTGTAGCTTCTCGAGTGCCATGTTGATCCAAAATTTTCAAGGAGTTAATTCCCTTTGCTTTTCCTTTCATTCTTGTCCAAACCTTATGTCAAAGGTTAACTGGTCTATAGTTTAATTTCATAGGTTTTATGATAATATCTCTAAAGTTGATCTTTCTTTGTGGTTTTTTAATTTAACAGTTTCACTTTCCTGTATTTTTTATGTATATTTTATTTTGATAAAATGTTTTTCATTCAGATATAAGACTGACGTATGTTTTCATTTTGAATGAATCTTATTATATGTACATCTATCATATGGTATCTAATATGTTTTCTCACCTTACAGTTAAAACTTGTCTTGAAATTCTTGAGTCTAAATTCTGTTTGAGTCAAAATAATCTCCAAGTCCCAATTTTTTTCCTTCTTTATCTTTGTTATTGTAGGTTGTATGACTTGAATTTCATTTAGTCAAAATTTTGTTAACATTGCGGTGAATATTCAGTCCCTTCAGTTGTAAGGTAAGAGGAAAGTCAATGGTTCTTTTGTTGTTTGTTTTTGGGTTTTTTTTAATCAAAGAAATACTGCTCTGTTGTCAGCATCATGCTAAAGTACCAGAGCATCATCTGTTTTACATAGTCAATCTTTATTATACCCCCCACCCAACTTTAACATATGTAAGGGATGAAGGGGGGATGTATAGTATAGTATTTACTTTGTGCATCTTGTGTATGTGGTAATAATATTTTGTATGACATATCTCATGAACCCTTTGATAGATTTAATTCATATTCACACCATAGCATCATCCCACTAAGGTCACCCCTGACCGTACCATGGCTTAGAGGGAACAAAAGGTGGGGTTGCTCGCTTTCTTTATATTTTAATTTTCTTTTTCTCTTTTTCTTGCCCCCACTCTTATCGATTCACAGGAGATATTCATTTTTCATTAGGATAAGTTTATAAAAATGTACATATTTTAAAATCTAAAATCACATTTGCCAAATTCAGATTTAACAATCCTGCAAGCTTTGTAATTTGCCATCTAAATTACATTGTTTCATGATGGTCAGTAAATGTTTTGTAAACAAACCAAGCAGTAGCAGTGGACACTGCTGGTATTTTGTTTGTCATTATTGTACTGTTCAGTATTTTAACAGCACAGAGCTATCATCAAGATTAAAGCCATGTAAAAAAAATATGCTCAAATACTTTGTTCCTGGAATCAAACCCTGGATGGCTAGATGAAAGGCGAATGTGTTATCACTGTGTCACGCTTATATATGGATATCTGTAATTAGAGGGCTACACAAAAGAAATTATTCAATATCCATGCTGTCCATCATATTGACATATCAATATGATGGACTGTATCAGCATTTATATCAAACCAAAATCTTCTAATAATTGGCCTGAATAACAATCATAACTAACCAAAACATGAAAAAATTATTTACATACATGTGAAACTGTAACAGTTCAGTGATGAAATTTCCTGGTATCTGATCAAAAGACAGTAATGGTAGAAAACATGACTCCATTAGGCACCCATTAATAATCCATTGGCTGAAGAAATCATATCAAAATGTTATATGAATGAATAGCAGAAGGTCAGATGATGGCATGTGATATCTGAAAATGATTTGTTCATGTATGTGGTCAGGCCCATGATACTTTAGCTATCAACTGATGAGGAATCACATTTAGGTCATTCCTGTAGGTGTACATGTGTGATGGGAAAGAAGCTAGTAAGGTGACATGCATTCTCATCTTCAACATATGTATATGTGCAAAAGAGCCAGTCATAAAATATACATATCTATAATTGTTTCGAGAGAAACAATCAATTGTTGTATTTTTGTAAACATATTGTAGCCTATTAATGAATTTCCTGCACCAAAATGTAAACATAATATATCTATCATTGAAATGATATGTAGTGGTTACTTCAAATGAAGTCATAGTTACCTTTTACTAGAAGCGACACTATGGGATCAGAGCTTGCTGTAAAAACTCAGAAGTATATATGTTGGACTCTGTCTAAGCCGGATAGTGCAATCCAGATATCTGCCTATTCCGGTCAAATAAGGAAGTCCCAATTCCAACAACATCATTGGACTCTCTACAATCCGGAACTCACTAAAAAGCAGTCAAATTATTTGGTCCCAAAGATGCTTGGTTTAGGCAGATTTTGCTGTATATTTTCTGTACAAATTGAAAGTGTTTGTAAGAGTGCTGAGGAGGAAAATAAAGGTCTCAAATTGAAATAGTCTAGTCCCGAAGGTTAACCAGATAAAACACTTGTCTTTGTCTTGGTTTTTTTTTTCATTTACTATTTTAGTATTCTTGTGCAATACTTGTAATGTCATACTATGATACAAACATTGAATAGAAATATTTTTTAACTCCTCTTAAAGAATTTGTTAAAGGATTTCATTTCTGTATATTTTGCTGTTTATTGGTACAGTGTATGTTCATATTCTGTTTGCTTTATTTCCCTGATAGAATCATCTGTATTATCATGCCTTTAGTATTTTATGAGAATGTTAAAGATTTCCTTCATTTCCAAATCAATGAGGTCAAGTATAAAAAAGACATGAATGAGTTTTATGTTGTAGCGTTCCAAAATCATTGTCAACATTATGAGGTTTTTGCATTGAATCTGAACATGAGGCATCTTTATTTCACACAATCTGTGTGTTGTGTACATGTACCAGTATTGATGTTCTGTTCTAAATTTATGGAGGGGACACATACAGAATGAATTCACATGTTGAGTAACAAGAACTGTTTATAGGTATGTATGTGTTCATATTGAAGATGTCTTGGACTGACACTTCGTAACATTTTGTTAGCTAGAATGCTGAAGCCAAACAAATAATCTCCAATCCTAGATTTGGATTGGGGAAAATGCATTAAAAGTGCCATTCACTTGTGTGTCTTTTCTACTTTTCATGTGTTAGGTGTATAGTAAAAGTGAATGCGATAATCTTCACCTTGTCTGCATGTACCCTCTGTTTGAAGGAGTGTATGATTTTTTTGTTTTGTTTTGTAATTGACCTAATTGTGTATGTTTTTGTTTACACATGTCTGTTTACTTTCTATTTTTGATAATGTCATCATGAATGTCTTCATTTTTGCATTGTAGATATATCTATCATTAACAGTATATTGCCAATGGCACCCTTGAATTAATCATTATTTGCACATGTAATTAACAATTTATCACATACAATTAATCTTATTTAGTTACCTGGTATCATTGATATGACTAAGGACTAATTTTGATTATTTAATGTTATTGAGCCATAACACTCCATTTTTCGTGTTACAGATCATCGACTTGAAAAAAGTTTAAATATAATTCTTTTAATTTGAGCACAGGATTGCAATAGTTTGACATATATAATTGACTCTTTTCTTTCATAATTTCTTGCATCGCGCATTAACCAATCCAATTCAACATTAGAAAATAACATTGATGTATTCATGTCTTGTGATAACATTTAAAAATGCCCAATAGAAATGTTTGTTTCGTGTTGGATTAGATTGCAACACTGTATCTTAATGATTTGCAATGTATATCTAAATTGTGTGTTATATGTCTAGATCATTTACACCTAGCGTGACAGTTGTATGTGGTCATGATTTAATTATTATGAACAACTGACCATTACATTCCAACCATTATTATCAGGTACTATGAATAAGCATATTTGTCTATTTTATTTCCTTTGTTTCCTATCGTGTAACTATCTGTCTGGTTTTTTTCCCTCATTTTTTCTTGTTTTGAAGCTTTTTTGATCTTGTATGATGCAGTAGGCACACATTATGTATGACATATACCAGTACCTGTGATATAACAGTGTTAAAAGTATAAGTCCATTGACACAATATGATTTGGGATTTTGAAATACATTGATTATGTTCCAAATTTGTTGTTTTCTTTTGTTTTCTATTAACTTCTTAGCTAACCTTTTTGAAGAATAAGGGGGCTCATGTAGTCAACCTAGCATTGACATCAACGTCAACACTACCAACCTTAATTTTTTTGAAGTTTTTTTAAAACAGCACTGATGAAGTATTATCAATATTCCAAGCCATATTTTTCATATATCTGGGACCCAAAAGGGGTAAATTTCTTAATTTGGAAACGCATCTTTTATCAAAGTGTTTGATCAATTTTCTCATCAAGCAGTACTGGATGACAAATGTCAGATCATTGAGTACTTAACGCAAATGAATTATTAGCGATATACTGAGCTATGTTTTTGACATGATTTCTGATATCAATTTTCATCATCATAAAATAACTGCAAAATATCGACATGTCCACAAAATTGTCAAAATCAAAGTCAATAAAACGGGGTTGTAATGCGGGAAAGATTTACACGGCGATCTGTCAAACACAAAGGCTGCCGTCTTTTGCTTCATCGACGACACCCATCACCTTGGTCAATCCAAGGGCCAAGCGCTTTCATTTACAGTTATCAAAACTGGTTATAATGTTTTGTTTGTATTTGATAATTTCCTTGTAGTAAAAGCGTTGTGGCGCTCTATACTAATACTTGTGAAACAGTCTGACTTTGGCCGATCAGAACCATCGAGGTGAGATTTAAATGACCGACAGTCGGCCATGACAACACCCTCAGTTATCGTTAATATTATTTCTGTAATGGAAATCGAAACAAACACTTCATACACTTACAATCATCAACTTATGTGTATCATTCTTTTCACATATACCTTTACCATATGCAGACAGTTCAAAAGAGGAGTGGGAAGGGGATAAGGGGTTATTATTCAACTGTATGGTGGCATGTTTTGTCAAGTAGATAGTTTTCTTAAAATTTTAGTTTCTTAACGATACAAATACCAGAGTTGACCTCAAAACAAAGTATTGAGGTTAAATAAATTTCAACGATAGTAATTTACGGAGATTTCAAGTGTTTTCGAATATATCAAAACTATATATTTGAGACATGTCCGACTAAACGAAAGAGGAACAAGTCTTACAGAAATGTGGATGTGAATGAAGTAACGCGAAGTCATGGCTATTCAAGTTTGGACATTTTCATGTTTCCCAAACAATGCGTTTTATTTCAAATAACATCTACAAACAGATATACAGTGTTCCAACTACGTACAGCCTATTTTGTACCCGGAGTTGTCGTTCTTGATAATGAAAGCCGACTTAACTTGTGAGCTCATCGAATGCACCAACCGGAAGTTTGCTTTATGAACCAATCAGAAACGAGCACTTGTTGTCGTAAGCGGAAATATGGCCGCGGAACATTCAAATGCGCGCCCTTTCTAAGAGGAGGAATTTGCATCCAACAACAACAACACTGATTGATGAGTCGTCTTTTCAATGCAGTTTATTGACTGACATGAGAACATTAATATGGAACTTGAAATTAAGGATGCACAGGTTGCCTGTCTATCAGGAATAATTGATTTACAGAAAGCGTGCCAACAAGAGAAACTGCGTTTTTCGCCGGAGACCAATCAGTATCTGCTGTACCAGACATTGAGAAAACTCGGCCCTTATGTGGCTCAAAAGTTGGTGTCTAAATGTAAGTCTTCGGTCACTGTTATGTACTCAGATTTTTCGTGTATAGACCTTGATGATCATCGCAGCGCATGATTATAAATAAGCAGCTGAGAAAGTGGTTTTTTGCGTTAATAGTCAATGGTCAGTAGACCATGTTACTCTAAAAATATTAGAGGCTTACTCGACAAGAAACTTGACAACTGGTACCTGCAACAGTCGACACAATACCGTCTTAAATCGTCAAATTGACATTAATCATTAGAACTAGATCTAGCAATTAACATGTATTTGTTTTATTAGCTAGTTTAAAAATACAAACGTGAAACGGTATGTGAATCCAAATAAAACGTAACGTAACAGGAATTCCTTGATAGAAAATAACTTTTCAACACTATTACTGAAGTAATAAAATCTATTGCAATTAAACATATGGTTTATATGTAATTAAAACAACAACGATCAGATTGGGGAAAACCGCAATCTGGCCAATTATAACGCCAATCGGGATATAGATTTGTTACAAAAAATAGCCGAAATCGCTTGAACAGTAACTTTTGCGACATATTTTTTAAAAGTTGCATTAAATTATGACAAGGTGTTTCTTCTTTATCTACATGATGTTTACTGAAAGTGCTGACTTCTTTGAAACTTAATGTAACAGTCGCCACCATTGTGATTATTCTAACATAACATAGGTCATATAGACTGCAAGTACTGCACCAATTTTATTGACTTTCCTTATGCAAACTAATTATAATTTGCAATTGGATTGTGTTTCATCACTTAATTAACTGGTACACAAAAATGCTTAGTTTAAAGTGATTTTGTTTGTTTTTAGTAAGAAATCCATACTCCAATTGGCATATAAGAGGTTAGTTTGTTGTCATATGCAAATTTGTCATTGATTATAAAATGGCAAAAAGACAGTATAAAAAATATTTTGAAATATTGTGTTTTCCATGGGTATGCAAAGGAAACAGACATTTCTTTTATCATACTACTAAAATAGCAGGAATCAAGTATAAAAAACCACCAGGACTGCGACATTGGTAGCAGGGCAGGTAGGGTGCCACTACTGACTTGTCTGTGTTTTGTTATATAATCATTGAATCTCTCTAAAAATGAATTGAACAGGAGGAATTGTTCTTCGATTGCAACATGAAAAAATATTATGACAGTGTGTTTGTTGTACTGGCCAATGTAGTTCTTTTATTAGTTTTCATGCCCCAAACATTTTTCTTGCCATTATGTGATGTCACACAATTTACAGGTCCGTACAGCATGCGGACAACTCTGTTAACACTTTGACAGGATGACAGACCAGTTTGCAGAACAAGCAGCAAAAATAGGGCACAATTTGGTGCTCACTGGTCAGTATGGAACGCGAAAGATCCTTGACAAATTAATAAGACCACATTTTCAGTGTTGATTTTTTTATTGATTAAGGAAAACATTCAGTTGTGATATGCACAATTCATGAAAATTTCCTGCACATATATAGTGCAGACATTGTACATGTACTGTGTGCATAACTGTGTGGAAAGATTACACATTTTGTGCAGTTTGGTAAAAATGGTTAGTTATTCTAACACATTGAAGATTAAAAGGAAAACTCATGTTGTGACAAACTAGTGATCACAGGAATATTAAAATTGATAGGTGAATATAAAAGTCATTTTCAATTTGACAGTTTTCCAAAAAACACTGGACCCTACATTAATTAATTGTATTGTATATAGTTTCACACCTTCAGGGCTAGCTCTGGCTCAAAATTTTATTCAAAGCTAAGATACACACAGGTATATACATTGTACATGACAAGTCTGAATCTATACAGGCTAGGTCACCTGTGTAACAAACACAATATTTTAAAATTGACCTCGGTATATATCTTTTGTTCACAAAATGGTAGAAAAATGCAGGGCTCTCAATCTGCCAGATTTGGGGCCGATATTTCGGCCCCATTCCCAATGCATAATAGTATCTTTTTTCCCAATTTAGACCCCAGGTTTTCCCAATTCTAAGGAAAATGCTGCTATTTCTCCCAATTCTACGGGCCCCAGTTCCAAAATGGGGTGTGAGAGCCCTGAAATGAGAATATAACAAAAGTTGTGATATTAAAATTTTCATTTTGACAGGATTAGATTTTAGATGATTCATAGCTAAGACAAAATAAAAGACATCCATTTAATGTTAACATATATAATGTATAATAAAAGACATCCATTTAATGTTAACATATATAATGAGTGTCTGTACACTAAGGCTGGTCGCGTGTGGCAGTTTCAAACAAAACTCTTTAAATTAAGAGTGTATAACACTATTCAGTCTGTGTCTGATAGATCTACAAGTGTTAACTCTGTATATTAATGGCAATAAGGAAATATGCTTAGTTGTACTCTTATATATTTAGAAAATAAAATAAACCCTATCCTACATTTATCTATAGGTCATTACGAAATTTATATATTAACTGTGATAGATTCGCACAAATGTTTGATGTCTTATTTCAACCAGTTTTTCCTATCAAGCAGACATATCAGGCACATCGTGTATTTACCTTCTTCTGTGAAGACCAGTGAATTACGTGACACCACATGAGTTTTACCAATATGCAATGCTTATTTAACGAAAAACAAGCAGTGACAGCACCTTTCCTCATCTGCTGAGATGATGTTGCATTCCTTGTGGTATTTTTAAAATTTGATTCTGGCTATTTTATAAGTATAATAGCTGTATTTGATGAAAAGAATGTCTTCCTGTGAAGCTTGTTACAAATGGATGTTTTTTTGCGCTTATTGAAAATGACAGCATAAAAAAAAACATGCTTAAAGAAAATCATCATGTTTGTGTCATTCATTTGTGGATATACAGAGCAGCAAACAAGAGGATTCTTTGTGATGTACATGTTCCTGTCTATAAGGTCAGGCAGATTGCAATATCACCCTCTGAGACCTACAAACTGTTTTTTAGACAGCGCGCCTCTGTAACAATATTACTTTTATGGTTTGTCCATCATAAACATTGTTTTATTGTGAAAACAACTTTCTATAATCATTTTGACACATTCTCTAAGGTATTCGAAAAAATGAATTAGAAAGGAAGTAAGTAGTATTTGTTTGCTCTAATGTTGTAATAAATTACCACAGATGTACCTTGCAATTTGGGTCATGATGGCAGAGTGGTTAGGGGTCTGACCATATGAATTGCTAGCTCTCCAGCTCTAGGTCATGGGTTCAAGGGAAATTGCCAGGCACTGGTCTAGGGTGGGTGGTTTTCTCCAGAAGCTCTAGCTTTCCTCTCCCACCAAAACCTAGCACATCTTCAAATAACTCTGGCTATTAATAGAATGTAAAGTAAAATAAACCAAACCAGATCCTTGCTATCCATGGCAATGCGCATGACCTTGTCATGTGATCAGTCATGTGGGATGTGATTGGTTTGGCTTGTTTCATGTTCAATTGTCATTTGAGGTGAACAATGGTAACACCCTGAATGTATTGACATCAACAACAAAGTTGATGATATTATGCATGGGAATCACTTTATTATAGACCTATTTCATTAGTCTGAAATATAAGGAAGTAATTTGTCGCCTGAAATGAAAGATTAGATTTAAATTGAAGAAAAATGAAGATGAAAAATATTGTTTAACCTTGGAAAAGGATAATTTTCGCTTTCTACTTTTTTTTCAGTGGTTGAACGAGGTGAAATAACATGGGAGGAGGATGAAGACTGGGAAGTGGAGCATATTTTAGATCATACTGTTGATGAGGTAATGCATTTTAAAATAGGACATTAGAATGTATGAAATGCTAACAAAGTAGATATGCATTTTCAAATAGCTAAATTGTGTTTCTAAATTAATATCAGAAGTATGTAGCAGATGTAGATATTCATGAGAAATTCAGGCTGTGTGTTTTTGTTTTTACCAGGCGGAGCAAAAAAAAATATGTTTCATTTTTGCAGAAAATAGTTTTATGGCATCCTTAAGATATTACAAGGTGTCATTATTAAATATATACACAAAAATAGTGCATTATGTTCTCTATGCAGTTTAGATATGAGGTATCAAACAAATTGTTTTTGTGGATCGTCAAACAGTCACCAATATTGTCTTCTAGATCTATAACATGTACTCGCTACCATAGTTTTTTTTATACATCTATTTCAAAAGGAAGAATAATTTGACTGTGGATTAAGGTCATATCCTCCACAGTCATAAACAGACAACTCATTAATGTGTGCACTTAAAAGTAAAAGCCAAAAGCACCTGTGTGATGTTATTTCTGTTGTCTGGTGGACATAGCTTTGTACAAGAAATCTTGCTGGCAATTATTTGATGATATGTATTGTAAGTTACTGTACATCATCACATGCCATATGTTCACAGGGTACAGATTATTACCTAATAAAATGGAAGAACTGGAGCAATGCTCATAACTCATGGGAGCCCAAAGACAATCTGGAGTGTGCAGACCTCCTGGAAGAATTCCACTCCGAAGGCCGGCGCATCATGGCCAAGCGCAAGCTTATTGACTTGGACAATGTTGGTTATGATTCCAAACGCAGTCGTGTGGATGAAATCTTCAGGAAGCTTGAGCCAATAAGAAAAACACTATCTCCACTTCAATTAATCTCATTGTCCAGTCCCAAAAAAGGTGGGAAGCTTCCTTTGTTCAAGGGTTTGATCACTAGTAATGGCCAGAAATTACCAAAGCTTCATACTCCTGGCTTCAAGCAACTGAATCCAAGGACGAAGTTTTACAAACAGAAGAAAGATGAGGTGCGCAAAGCACTGAAAGAATGGGAGGCAAAGTTAAATGATATTAACAATGACCCTGCTCCGATTGTTGTGGAAAATGAAGTAGACTTGGAAGGGCCACCCGAGAACTTTGAATATATAAATGACTACAAACCTGGGAAAGGGATTGACATTCCTGATGACCCAATAATTGGCTGTGAATGTGAAGATTGTCTAGAATGCAAAAAGAAATGCTGTCCAAGTGCCTTCGGTTCAGAGTTTGCATACTATAAATATAAAAGGCTACGTATTTCTAGAGGAACGCCAATTTATGAATGTAATAAACGGTGCAAATGTGGTCCAGAATGCCCCAACCGAGTAGTACAACAAGGTCGTAAATGCAAACTATGTGTATTCCGCACTAGTAATGGCAGGGGTTGGGGAGTTAAAACCATGCAGAAAATCAAGAAAGGGTCTTTTGTTGTAGAATATGTAGGGGAGGTAAGTGATCACCATATTCATACAATGATAAACATGATTTTTTTCCACTTCTGTATTGAAACAAATTGAAAATAGAATTTTGAGGATCAGAATGTAAGTTCATTGTTCAGCCTTTCTAATTTTGCATGTTAACCAATAATGGTTTCTATATTAGTGCAGAGTTGTATGCTCTTGTTGTTTAAATATATATCACTACAGTTCAGTTGCCAACTATCTTGTACATGCATGCAGGACTAGAAAAAAATATTTTCAGCTGCTGGTCTGTCGGGCAAGTGAAACTTGAAATTCACTTGCCCGAATCCAATATTCACTCACCCGAAGAAAAAAGGCAACAAAACATAATTTAAGGAACACAAATTTTATTATCAATTTCTATATCAAATGTTTGAACTCAACACTTATTTAATTCAATGTTAAGGCTAGTGGTGTTCCGATAGTCGAAAATGTTGAAAATCGCTCGACTACAATCAAAAATCAAGCAGTCGACTAAGTTTTTGTAAGCTCGATTAATAGAAAAAAAAGGTTAACAACCTCCCGGGTCCAGGACGGGGACATACCAAACCAACGTAGTGTATCGGGCCTAGTGTATCGGTACTAGAAGCAACCAGTATGTGGCATACATTTCGTAGTTTTCATTCAGTATTTATAATAAAAAAAACTGACACGAATCTACACTAGTAAATTAAAATTTGAATTTCATTTGTTTTTAGAAAAGGAAAGTATATTCATAAATCAAGAAAACTTTAGATTTTAACTTTTAAACATAAGTACGAAAATACGGCGTAAGAGCATGTTGTAAAGATGATAGATGATAATGAGCTGTACCAAAAGTAGTGAGGATAGACACTTTTCCGATTGATCGATTAATCGTTCATAGAACTCCTTCTGATAATCGATTGTAAATTTCTGTTCCGATTCCCATCACTAGTTAACGACTTTTTGACAGTAACTACGTACACAAAACAACCTTGTTTACAACATTTGTGGTGACGTAATAGATTTTCGCGTAGTCCGGATCAGCCAGAGTCTTGACGCATGGTGTAAACAAGGATACTACATCGATGTATTTGATCGACTATCAGTGGGTTTGAATTAGTTTTAAGAGTGTTTAAGTTGATAAACGTCATTTATTATGGAATATTCAATAGTCAGAACTACAAATTTCTGCCGGACAAGTAGCTGAAACAAATCACTCGCCAGCAAGTAGCTTTGGCTCGTTTAGACGAGTGGACGAGTGGATTTTTCTAACCATGGCATGGCTATCAATGATATGGTTATTTGTATGAATATAGATTTTAAAAACTGCAGTACATATCCTTTTGATGATAAGGTAATTTAAGGGGTTTGATTTAATTCTGGGCTAATTGAGTACATCAATCTGTATTGAGTGATAACAGGAGATGAGTTGAAGTACACCTCAATATACTGTTATTTTGTACCAAATGTCGTTTCAGGTGATTACTAATGAAGAGGCTGAGCGCCGTGGGCGGTACTATGACGCAGTAGGGAGGACATACCTGTTTGATTTGGATTATAATGATGGAGATTGTCCTTTCACGGTTGATGCTGGTTACTATGGAAATGTTTCCCATTTCATCAACCACTGTGTATGTACAGTATTTTTGATGTACATTTATTGATATATTTCAATTGAGTCTCTATAAAGAAATGCATTCATCCATAGATGAAACTAATCATGACATCCATTTGTTTCTGTCAACACTTTAGTTGAAAGAGATTATCACCAAATTCAGAGGTCTGAATTTTCGAAAATTTCACATGGTTATTCATTGTGATGTGGAAGATGTGCAGTTTAAAAGTTCCTTAGGCGTAGGTCATTGCTTCCACATTAGAACCACACATTTATATGATAAAAAAAAGACATTATGAGGATACACTGTCATAATAATGCGTAGGAGTTTTAACTGTTTCTAAGGTCTAAGTTACTAAAAATTGGTCTGGGAGTATACTATCAGAAATAATGTCATATGTATGTCAGAGCTTGCAATGAAGCTGCCCCTAATCCTTTGAATGTAGAAGATAATAATGACTCCACTCATTTTCTGGAAGTCATCTGTGCCAAACTAGACAGAGGATCATCCATTTCCAGTAGTAAACACCCCCCGTTTATAAAACATGCTGTTCAAACCTGGTCATATATACCATGTAAGGACGTTACAGAAGGCCAAATGTTCTAAACATTTCATATTAATTGTCACAATTGCTTGATGTATGTAGGCATATATACTGTGGAGCACAAAACAGGACCTTTGCTGACCTGTCAAAAATATATATGTCTATTTTCTTAAAATGATTTCCCTAAGTAATGCCCTCCTTGACTTCGCCATGTTGTTTAGGTATTGGGACACATACACTGGAGGTATATAAACTTTCCAGTACTTCAGAGAGAGATGAAACTTGTAAATGGAAATTTGACTTTGCCTCTGTTACCAATTCTAATGCATGGTTTTTAATGGAACATCGGGGAAATGAATGTAAGGAATTAAGGAAACAGTTGAAATTACCCATGTCATCTTTGTTCTACAACTTCAGTTCTGACTTAAAGTAACGTAGTGTTCGTTCTTGAGAAAAAATTGTGCAGTTTTTTTTGTTTTTTTTTCATGCCATGCAGTGGTATGCATGCACCTATTTCTTTGTTCAAGAATTTTAAAAAATTTAATTAATTTGTTACCTTTAGTTCGATTGCATTTATTTTCATGCTTTCAAAGTTCCAGGTTTAGATAAATACTGAAAGTCTGGTTTGTCAGTTTTTGAATTGGATTCAGCTTTCATTAATGTTTCTTTTTCTTAATTAAGTGCGATCCCAACTTGGAGGTTTTCGGTGTGTGGATTAACGCTTTGGATCCTAGACTACCTCGTATTGCACTCTTCTCCCGACGAGACATTTCCAAGGGTGAAGAACTAACATTTGACTACATGATGACAGGTATGTACGAGATTTGTTAATTTACAAGATATTTAACAGATCACACACTACTATTGAACCTAACACACAGAGACTTGATAACATTCCTCCTACTTAAAAGCAAAAATAAATATCAGAATCAAAATTCATGGTAAAGCTTGAAAACTGCCATTGCACATATTTTTAGCCCACCGACATTACATGCCGAGCTATTCAAATCGCCCTTTGCCAATCGTCTATCCATTAATAATTTTGTGATTGCTATATTAAAAAGGTCCTGGATGTATCTTTCTCAAATTTCATTTGTAGGATCTCCTTCAGTGGGGAGGGAATTGTGGACAGACAACAATCTTGTATTTTTATTATGAAAGTTTGTTATTGCTATTACTTGAGAAGTACTGTCTAGATCTTTCTCAAATTTCATGTGTATCTTCCTGTTGATCCCTAGTTGTTCCTGTTTGATTTTGGGACTGATCGGAAACCAAAATCAATGGCTTACAGATGGCCATCTTGGATTTCAACAACAAAAATTTGTTATCACTAGTTCGTGAGAAGTGCTGGATGGATCTTTTTTCAAATCTCATATATAGGCTCCTCTTGGTCCCTCGTTGTGCTCATTTGAATTTGGAACTGATCAGCAAAACAAAATCACTGACAAGGAGCCATCTTGGATTTTTACAATAAGAATTTGTTATCACTAATTTTACAGGATGAATTTCTCTGATTTAATATGTAGGTTTCCCTTGGTTATGCATGTATGTTTTTTGGACTGATCAGAAAAAGAAAACGGGCAGCCATCTTGGATTTCAACAATGAAAGTTTGTTATTGCAATTGTTCAGAGGAATTCTCATTTGTGTAATTAAGAGCAAATACAGAGGAGAGAAGAGAAAAGTCCAGCTTTTAAAGAACAAATAAAGATCAAACAATGGTGGATGCCAACATCCCTATGGAATCTCTCGTGCAATGTTAAAAGATATATATGTTATCTGTTAGTGGAATAATAGCTGGCATTTAAGCTTGATTCAAGAAATGTTTCTGTAGCATTCTTATATACTACTTTGAGTAGATGGAACTTCCATCAGATGAAATTCCATGCATATCTGGTAATGGTATTAAATACTTTGCATGCAGAAAATCTCAACAAAGGTTTTGTTATTTGAATTTATGTATATTATGTAAATATCTGCTAGCTACTGTTTGTAATGTGCATAAATAAATGTTATATATATGGAGGAGGACTCCCCAGGGTATATTTACTTTAATAACCTTTTCTTAATGTGAGCTAGACTTGACAGATATTTGAAAAGGGAGATAATTCAAATGGGGGAGGGGTGTGCAAATTAGAGGAAACATGTCACAAAATAGTCAGAGTTTGGTTCTTTTGAGCATTGGGTGTGATTTTATTTTCAATATACTTGACTTTCTCGATCAAATATTCTGAGACATGACAGTAGAAAATCTTCATTCTGAATTCATATTTTTATACAGGAGACACTACCAACCAGGCACCAACACTGGACGATGTGGAAAAGAGCATTGCTGCTGGGTTGATAGGGCCAATTATTTTGGCAGACCCCTCACAGAACAACTCTCTGATCAATGAAGTGGATAGAAATAAAACTGATACTGTAGATGTATCAGATGCTGTTACTATGGATACTCCTCCAGAGACACCTATCAGTGGTCAAGGTGATACTGATGATGATACCATGGAGGAGGACTCCCCAAAGAAGATTGTTACCCTGCGAAAATCTCCACGGAAGTTTTGTTCTGAAGGAAATTCTCCGCTAAAAATGAAAATGTCACCCCATTCCCCTTCTAAGTCATTGGTGAAGTCTGATTTGCCTTCAACTTCACTACAAGTGGCAGGTGATGCAGTATTAGAAGCTGTTTTACCAGAGAAAAATCCTTCCACTATTCAACATTTGAATAAAGTGCTCGGAACTGATGGGGATTCAGAACCAAGTGCCAAGTTGCTACCCAAGTCCATTACCGACCAGTACAGAATAGTTTGTCAATGTGGTTCCAAGAATTGCAGAAAGTATCTGTTCTAGAGAATATATCACTTGCCTATATATTAAGTAATTTCACCAATGTTTTAAGTACTCTCTTATGCCCTTAATTTCACAAATTACATGTATATGTTTATGTTTTCACAGTTTAACTAGAATTATTTACTGTTTTCTGTACAAATTTAAGCTCTAACAGATAGTAATATGTCATTGGAATGAAAGGAAATTATGAAATTACGTTTTCTTGTAAAATAAAGCAATGTCAAGTTCTTTATGGTGTAAATTAATTTTAGATACACCTGGTAATGTCAATGGAAATGTGCTATTCAAATTGAGATATTTCCATACCAGTTAAAACTTTCCAAGAAATTAATGTGTATGTTTGCCTTTTCTTGGGATGATGCAGCAAAGCTGTGAGAGGTCAGGATAACATCTTATATTCAGATATGCATTCTCATTGATATTAAATCTGAAGTCTGAAAGAGTGATAGTTTCTAACCGTCACAATTCAGTTTTGTAAATGTCTTGAAAATGAGTCTAATTTTCATATTGAAAACCACAATTGATTTTGATTGTCAATCATACATGCTATCCATAATGCTTAAAGGGAACTCTAAATACTATCTTTTTTTTTCTCTAAATGTTAGTTTTAAAATGTTAAATGCCATCATTTAGTTCCTTTTTCACTTTTAGAGCAGTGCATGTATTTGTGGATTAAATTTTTTCAACGCGAAAGATATCTATTTACAAATTCAAGTATTGATATATATTATTAGCATATACTGCAATATATTGAAGTTGCATCTAAAATAAAATGGCTTTTTGTGATCTGTTGCACAAGAGTTCAATTGTGAAAATGTTTTTTGAATACATGGCTGATCTAACCTAGGTTTATAATCTATTTATAAAACTGTTTTATATCTAATTCATATCAGTAGAATTTTAATTCAGTTTGTTTTTATATGACCATCAGAAATTTTGACATATTATGGTAAAGTGTCGTCTGTCTGTCCATTGTGAAGTTTTGTCTAGAGTCAGATCTCCAGCATGGTAGCTTTAATTTTGATTTGACTGTCATTGCCCATGTTTTTTTCATAATGTTTTTCTTGTCCAGAAATCTTATCAGTTTTCCTTGGATTTCTTTCAGACTTAATGGGGTCAATCTACATGAGAGGAAATTTTTTCTGAATTGTGGTTTGATTCGACTCTATTTGGAAGAGTTACTGTCCCTTGTTTTAATATTCAATATCTTGTCAAAAGATCTTTTCAACTGATTTCCTTTAAACTTAGGCTTAGGCTTAATCACCATGACATGAAGGTTTTTTTGAGTGGCTGATTGATTAAACTTTTTGAAGGAGTTTATCGTAAATTTGGTAATTTTAGAATTTTTATTTAGTATATAGATCTCTTCCCTCAGTTTTTAACCAATTTCTCTGGAACTTAACAGTAAACTCTTTACACTATGATTTGAGAATGTAATTTATTTTTTCTTTTCTTTTTTTCATAATTTCATAAATCTTGTCCAGAGATTTCTTCTCTCAGATTTCAACTCATTTCTTTCAAACTTGGTAAGCTTTAATTTTGTACTGTTTTCCCTCTCAGCATTTTGATTCGATATTACCTTCTCCATAATTGTATTCATTTTAATACAATAAATATTTCTTCTGGGTGTGACAAGCGTATATTGTTCTGATTCATGTAACTTTTGTCGTCAAAAAATGTATGATACTGTACTGCCTTGTACATTTTAGTTTTTCTTATATTGATGACAAATCTTTTTTTTTTCTTTTTTTTTTCAGTTGTTTTTGTTTGCATAATTTATTTATATTCTATCAAGTCACATTTTCATTGGAGTTTTGTATTACAATATAGTTCTTCATGTTTTCCAGTTCTGAAACATGACGGAAGGAATGCTTTGATTAAATGGAAATTATATATTGACATTGAGCTAAAATTGATCTCAAGACAGATATGAAAATTGTAAAGTGCGTGGGCAAGCATTCTCATATATGACGAAAGAATTGACGTATCCAGACTGTTGATCAACAGATAAGGATTTCCTCTTTATAATTATTATTTGACCTCTTTATATGCATATTTCAGTAAAAACCAACTGCCATTGTTCGTGAGGTGATGCACTTGATACATATATGCAATAATAAGATAATTAGTAAAAAAAAACCAAATTATTGTTTTACCGTGGTGTCGCTTTAACTGCTAATACTTCATCATTGTCCTGCCATAAGCCACCCATTGATTTTGAGATAAAAGTAATTGTAGAGCTCATATGCATGGGCTTATTACAGCAAATAAAAAAAATTATATTATCATTGCAACATATATAGACATTTTTTAAAACACAAATCTTAATTACTTACACCAGGGATTTTGGCAGTATTCTTAGTTTGAAACTGAAAACTTATTTGATTTCAACGGGAAATTACCAGATGGTATTAACTGTTTCATTGAAATTTGATTAATTGCACTCAATCTAATTTAATGAATAACTTTTGTTTCACAATTACATATCATTACAAAACTGTATAGAAGAGTCAAAAGTGAACAAAACTTTCAATTACAAATTTATAGTGCATGGTGAATGTAACAACCCCTACACAATGAAGCAATTTTTAAAAAAATAAGTAAAATGTTTAATACTTATTAATGGATTTATAGGAGAATTTCTTTGTCATTTTGACAAAAAAAAAAAAACAATTAAAAAGGGAATCTGATTTTAATGTATTATAACCTTGGCTATCTCAGGGCAGTCCAGAATTTATTAAATATTTTACATAAATATATGTTTATCTCGGAAAATCAATACACTTGTTTCAAAATTAATTGTTAAAAGTTTTGAGGCATATTCCAGTAAAACATCTATCTGACCCCAGGACTCCAGGTTTACTACCTATAAAACTTAAATGATGATTTTCCTTGGAGCTTTAGACAGGAAGCCAAACTGGATAAAAATTATTTATTTTGGAGTGGTGAAGTAGATATATTACTGGAATGACTCTTACCTTTCTTGTTGAAATCAATTTTTCTTTGTGTACGATTATTAATGATTTATAGATTGCTGAAGTTCCTTGACACCAAATCATTGAGATATTGTAAATAGTTTGTATGTGATATTTGTGGTTTAATGAATGAAAACAGGGCAGCATCTTCAGCAATGGAACTTTAATGAACTTTTCTTGAAATTGTGATTGGTATCTGTTTCAAGTTCCTGAAATAATTTAATAGACAAAGTGTTAATGTCATCAAATTCATGTTTTGTAGCTCTTATTCCAATGAAGAAAAGCACTCTAATATTAAATATCAATATTTTTATTTAACAGGCTTAATGTACACTATTAAAGCCTTTTGGCCTTTTGAGAAGACCACAACAAATATGTTTCCGACATTGCTTCTAAAGGTCCATATGCATGTGGTGTTATTTTAATGATTGTCTTTATATTAAGTATTATGACGGTCTTTTGAAGGTTAAGGGAGCATGACTTCTCTGCTTGTAGGTATCTACACTAAAAAGCTCATCTTCAATGGTCATTTGTTTACTCAAATTGTTTATGGAAGGGCAAACAAAGTCTTGTTACATGTGAAAGTTGGTTTTTTTGTTGATTTTAGTTTTATTTGTAAATAGATAAATTGTTTAAAAAAAATGAATAATTTTATATCCACATAAATAGTTGAGGGAGAAATTGATATATGATATTGATATATGAATACATAAATTGTAGACTGTTACATTTTCAAAATCCAAGGGTTTCATTCTTGGTACTGCTGTCTACTCTATTCTCATGGTACTGGCTATGGCCAACCTGTTTATCATTACATTGGCATCTGACTGTATAACAGCGAGTGTTCAAGGACAGCAGACTAGTCACAGGTTGCTGCTATCCCAGCTGTGTATACTGTAAAATGATTATTTTTCATGGAGGTTTCATTTTTGCTGAGATTGTGGATACTCCCAATCCACCTATTTATATGTCCAGTAAGTTATAAATAGATAAAATTTGCATGTATTTTAGTAGTTTGTTTTGCTGGATTTATTTCTCCACAAACAGTTATGATCAGGGCTGAGTTTCCTTGTAGTAGCTTGTAACTTCCTCACTTATCAACATACAGGAGACAATGTCCTATCCCATCCAGATCATTTAGGGCAAAGTGTCTGGACAGTATGGACCGTTTCTCAGCTTCATAAGAAACACAAACTGTCATGGGTAGGAAGCATTAAGCACCTCCGATCTCCACCTTTATTTTCTATTTATTCCACTTACAATGGTTTCTCTCTCTCTCTCTCTCTCTCTCTCTCTCTCTCTCTCTCTCTCACTTCTCACTTTCATCCTTGAAAATAGCAAAAAATTATATCTAGGTATTTACAAAATTACAATCCTAACTTTAGTCCATTGAAGAAGCCAGGAATTTGGAAAATATTTAACATAGATTTTGAACTACTGGAAATATTTTGATAATTTAGGCATTTTTGAGATATAAAGTTATACTCTTAAGCAAAAGCTATGCCTTTGAATGAGAAATCTATTTCTGAACACCTATGGGAAAATGAACAACACCCATGGTAGCAAACTCGTAGCAAACTCCTGTTTCAGCCAACTTCTAAATGATTCTGAAAAATAATAAGCCCTGCATTGACGTCTTCAACATGACAAATATAAGTGAGGATTTTTATGTAATTACAGCTATAATAATGTTAAAACCTTATGAATAAAAAGGTCACCCATTGCACAATGAGACACTGTGTACCACTACACAAATCTTGGTTTTGTAATACATCAAAAACTTGTCTACATAGTACATACCTATTCTAAGTATGTGTCTCAGCCTTGATAAACCCCGACTCTGTCTTACACAGACAAATTGGGAAGATTGTTTTAACAAATATGTATCCAAAATGAAAATATGTTAAATGGGATATCCAACTATAAATTTCTCATTAAGGATCCATCTAAATGTGTCTGATGTGTTTCTCAAATTGAGGCTTATCGTGTCTCGTTAATAGAATAGCAATCAGTACAAATAGTTATGATGGTGTTGAAATATCTTGCATGTAACCATACTGGACTTTAAAAGGCAGTTTTTAACATATGTAATTGAAATTTGTATCCAGTTGAATTGTCATGCAACTGATTATGATATGAAACTTTTATGGCGTGTGTATTTTGCAAAACTTTATATAAACAATGAGTCTTGTTATCCTATGATTTGTAAAGTTTTCTTTGGCAGAACTCTGTATCACAACACATCTGAACTCCTTTTGTTCATTGTCATGAACTTAATATTAATTATAACCAACTGATATTTTAAGTATAATTGTACATTTATTAAAGCATCATGTTTATGATTTCTTTTGTTTCAAGAAAATTTTTTTTTTTAACATCTGACACAGAGAAAATGTAAGTGAAAAGTTCAACTTAATGTTTCCTGTATTGATGTCAGATACTTGTTGTACGCGCAGGCATTTGTATCCAGGATTGGATGTTGGTACATAATCGCTATTGTAGCACCCAAGTTGTCAGTAGATGTGTTGTGTGCTTATTGTGAAGATAAATAATTTTTTTTTAGCCCACCATCATCAGATGGTGGGCTATTCAAATCGCCCTGCGTCCGTCCGTCCGTCCATCCGTAAACAATTCTTGTTACCGCTATTTATGGAATAGTACTTGATGGATCTTTCTTAAATTTCATATGCAGGTTGCCCTTGGTCCCTAGTTGTGCATTGTACCTTTTTTGGACTAATTCAAATTCAAGATGGCGGACAGGCTGCCGTCTTGGATTTTGGAAGTAAAAGTTTGTTACTTCTATTTCTGGAAAAGTTCTGGATGGATCTTTCTCAAATTTCATCTGCAGTTTCCCCTTGGTCCCTAGTTGTGCATTGTACCTTTTTTTGGACAGATCCGAATTCAAGATGGTTGACAGGCGGCCATCTTGGATTTTGAGAGTAAAATCTTGTTACCGCTATTTCTGAGGAAGTACTGGATGGATCCTTCTGATATTTCATAGGTATTGGTTTCCCTTGGTCCCTAGTTGTGCATTGTACCTTTTTTGGACTGATTTGAAATCAAGGTGGCCCACAGGCAGCCTTCTTGGATGTCAACAGTAATACAGCACAAGCATATTTTCTTCGATATTCTATCATATTGATTCAAGACCATGTCCATTATCCACCTGTAACTGACTGATATCTAATAATACTTTGGGATCTTTTTCAAATGATATTTGATAATAGGTGCTTAATAAAAATATGTTGTGCCATCATTGAGTACATTCAATGAAGACCAGTTCATGAACATTTACAACACTTGTTACAAACAAAAAAAATAAACAAATCTTCAAGAACTGAAAACAGGTCCTCAAATGGTGGGCGCCAAGATCCCTCTGGGATCTCTTGTTTATATCTGAATTTCCAAAATTGAACCTTGTGTGTGTTAGTTGGGTTTGGTATTGAAAGAGGTTTAATTTAGACCAGTATTATGAAAGAAAGTAGTGCCATATTTATGACTTTTGACCAGGGATGGAGGCTAGGATAATGCCCATGTAACTTTGCTATGCTTCATACATTTGTGGCAGTTGCTCTTGTAGTGTGTTTTTCCTTCACCTGGTGACATTCTACCCAGGACTGGGTACAAGGACCCTTGTTAAAGGGATGGTAATTGTAGTTATTTCTGGGGCTGTTTTTTGGAGACTGTCTACCTTCTAAGGATAGCTACTTTATAGCTAGGAATCTAGATCGGGTAGGTAATTGTAGTTATTTCTGGGCTGTTTTTTTGGAGACTATCTATGTTCTAAGGATAGCTACTTTATAGCTAGGAATCTAGATAGGGTAGGTTATCTGGAGACACATTGGGGCGGGGGGTTAAGGATGATAAATTTATGTCCTCCTTTTTTAGAGGATGGTTTATAAAGGCATTTTAGATATGGTTCCAATATTTTGTGATTGGTTGCTATTCTTCATGGAGGAATGATGTTGCAGTAATCTGTCAGTGATAGGTTACCTGTATCCTTTGTGAAAGTAGTTAAGAGATAATCTGCTATGGAATACAAGTACGTGAATTTTCTCCAAAGGAGTGGGGCAATGTGGTCACTAGTAATATAGTTAAGTTACTAGAACAGTATGCATGTATATGCATATTGTGATGCCTGCTAGATGCCTTTTGCCTTGGGGTGATTACCATAGAGCAAGGAAGTTATTACTCTGTAAAGGGACAGTTTTACTTCCTTGACTAAGATAAAAGTTTGATGTCTTCCTTTTAGGGCCATCAAATAGAGATGGATGATAGAGACATCAAAGTAGCTGTAAGGTTTTACCATCTGGTGGTTTCTAAAAGATTTCTACGTAGTGAATAGGTACACTCGCAAAGTATAGTTCTTATCACAGTCGTAGCAGAATAACTGATTCCACCTGGGGGTTTATATCTGGGACCTTTCAACTAGAGATAATTATGATGAACATTATCATATTCCCTTGACCAGTAGTGATTTTAAGGGGCTTTAATTAATTAGATCTAATTAATATTTAATACCTTCTGAGGAGGTTGATAATCAGATATCTTCTACATAGCATTGATTAGCATGGGACCACCAAGGAAGACAAATAAAACTTAATCAAGTCTACACAGGTAGACGAAGCATATTTTTGTGTAAATAAGACTTTGAAAATTCTATGTTTTAGACATGTCATTCTGTATATTTTAAGTCTATTGAATAAAGTCGTCTAATTTACGTGTTTTGGATATTTGTGGTGTTTGATAAGGACTAGAACAAAACACGGTGTGGACATTAGTTCCAATCTTCAGATCAGCAGTGTCATACTGAGAGTGCAGTAGTCTCCTCTTCTGGGGCTTTTGTTCAGTTTGGTAGTGCTATTTTTACATGGCTTACTGTTTATGCAATGGACAGAGCTGTTGTATTGCAGTTTTAAAGCGGAATTGAGAATTGACAACTTTGGTGCTTCGCCCTCAAATATATAAAGGATCTTAAATAAGTTTTCATTTCATGCAAGATTTTATGACAGGAGTCTCAGAAGTTCTTGCTTTTGCGAGCCTTGGCAATAAAAGTTATATTTAGACAGATTTCAAACAAAAGAGGCCATTTTGTTTCGCTGTTTTTAATTCATGACGAACCATCATTGTCCATATTATGACATCACAATCAATTTCTGACTAGCCCATCCAATAAAAACACTAAGGGAATATTACACTAGTGACATATTTGCAAAAAATATTACATGGGCAAATTAAATGGATAACCGGCGAAAATATTTATGTCAGTAAGGTTGATATTCTGTAAACCATCGCTTGCCTTACAAAACCTGGTGTTGTGAATACCTATAACCCCTTGCCAGAAGCAGCTCCCCCCTCCCCCTCATTCCTCTAGTGGAATTTTGCAGACAAAGTTTACCTTGAAATACATTGACATAGAAACAGTTTAAGCCATGTTTGCACTTTGACCGTTGGAACAATAATTCATACTTTTAACTAAACAAGAAGTCATTATCTATTTTATTGCGAACACAAAGTTGTCAACGTGTGCGTAAATGAAATGAGATGCTGGACAATTATTTCATATTGGTAATAGAATGCGCCGGTAAAAGTCACTCTCGTTGGACCGGAGATAAGAAAGTAAAAATATGGCGGCAATGGATGATGAAAAAGCTATAGATTTAGTTACTAAAAAACGAAAACTACAAAATGAAGAGGAAGCTTGTCATCAGATTGAAACAAGAGCAAATCTAGGAAATATGGATATCGTTGGGGTTTTAAATGATAATCCGAGAGAGAAATGCCTGTTCCTGCATACGAAAATTTCGGGAGACGACGCCGTTGTTTTGATGGAGAAAACGCCATTCGACACGAAGACTCTGACCCAACTGATTTCTCAAGACACTTCATTAAAGGAAACGCTCAAAAACGACATTTATTCTACTTTTGAAACGCATCTTCCGTACCATCTCAATGGTAAGTCACTTTAGATAGCCAGCTGATACCTCAGGAGCTCGGTTTCGTTAATAACCCCAACATCATCAATCCAATATTCGTAGTGTGCACATCCCGAAACATTATAGAATTGTGTGCTATCGATTATACATCTCCTCTCTGTTTTCAATTAATTTAATTTAAACTATGTTAGTTTTATTTATATATTACCATGGCATGACATTGTGTTTTTATGCAGTTGTAACGGACAAACCATTCAAACCAATAAACGAACTACCCGGTTCGTTTTCGTTCCGGACCGTTTTCAGTGGCTAATCTAACACGCTTTGACTGAGGAATCCAGGCAGAGTCAAGATACACGGAACCACTGGATATATTAGATGGCTGGACACGACACTTCTCTAAGTTGTCATCTTCTATCTTACTAACTCCGACAGACATCCAGTATGATGTTGACGCTATACTCCAAACCTGTAAGCTTCAGAAAGTAAGCTATGAAGAACTGGTTACTGAAAGTATGGTGGAGTCTGCTGTGAAAAGCCTCAACAACAAGTCACCGTATATCTACGGTGTGTCGGCTGAACACCTAAAATACGGTGGACCTCACCTCATCAAAGTTCTTACTACCTTATTCAACATAATTATCAGTGAAGGTGTGGTTCCTGACGTTCTGAAGGTCGGTCACTTGTCACCTGTATACAAAAAGAAAGGATTGCAAAGAGAAGCAAAGCAAAGTTACAGCGCGGATTCACGAAAAGTCATTGCTGCACGGCCAGATGCCACCAGGTACATTGCATTTCTCGATGCAAAAGCTACCTTTGATACTGTTAATCATCGGATCCTAGAGAGGAAACTGTACCTTCAAGGAGTAACGGGAAAAACATGGCAGATTATTCATGACCTTAACTGTAATGCTACCTCTCATGTGAAATGGCAAGGACAACAGTCAGAACTAGTCCCAATCAAAAAAGGAGTCCGACAAGGGGGAGTGCTGAACACGGAACTGTACAAGATCTATATTAATAACCTTCTCAACAGGTTAGTTTCCTCGGGACATGGAGCATATATCATCCAAACTTCCTGTGTGTCACCTACCTGTGCTGACGACGTAGCCCTTGTAGACTATACCAAGAAGGGACTACAGACCCTACTCAACATAGTCCAAGACTACAGTGAAGAACATGTATATACACTCCAACCAACTAAGTGTGTAGTGTTACCGGTCTGTAATAGCAAGCCCACTACAGATGCTCCTTTCCCTTGGTCCATCGATGAAACAACTCTTCCAGTATCTAATGAAGCAGTCCATCTTGGTGTACTACATACCTCAAATCCTAGGAAATCTGCTGCTGCAACCATACAGAACAATATAAAGAAAGGACATAGGATGTTATTTATACAGCCTAATGGGTACAGGTCTCCATGGGAAAAATGGGCTGAACCCAGAGACGAGCATGCATCTACTGCGAACATATGTCATTCCCACAATAGTCTACGGACTAGAAATATTTGGCCCAACAGACAGGGACCTCGAGCCATTAGAAGTACAGTTTAGAAAGATACTCAAACAAGTATTTTCTATGCCAGACCGTGTCGCAGATGTCAGAGTGTACATCTTGACAGGATCAATTCCACTTAAGGCTGTTATCCACAAGAACATGCTGAAGATGTTTGGAACCCTCATCTCTGTGGAGTCCGCTGTGACAGACATTGCTGAGAGACTACTTTTAACAAAGGAAGACAACCCAAGGAGCTGGTTTACCATTGCTACCACTCTACTTGCAGTCTATGATCTACCAAGCACCCGAAATATTCTGGACGGCGAGGTACAGTTTCAGAAAAACTGGTGGAAGCAGATTGTCAATAAACAAGTAGACGGATATTGGAAGACTTGGATCCTGGATCAGTCAAAGTATTTCTCTTCACTATCTCTTCTCAGCCGTACATTCGATCCTGGAGTATTACACCTTATCCTCAAGACTGTAACATCTGACCCCAGAGATGTAGAGAGACTACCAGTTAAATTGAAGCTTGTTACCAACACCTACATGCTCCAAAGTAACCGGAGTGCATTCAATCAGACAACAGTGGACCCGACATGCTTACTATGCAAGTCTGTACCAGAGACATTTTATTCTCGGCTGTACTGTACTTGAATCAATCTGTCGTTCTTTCCTTGAAAGTTTCCAGTCGTTATTTCCAGAAGAGGAACTTATCTCCATACAGACTGTGTTAGATTCATCTCAATACTTGTCTCCATAAGGAGACATCTTCGCCTGTGAATATCTGTCACAAAGAATGTGTTCTGCTCTACACCAGAAAAGGATGAGCATACTGAGTAAACTTCCTTCAAACAAGAAAAAGGGATTGTGACAGAAATGCAAGAACTGTATATTGTAATCGTGATGTGTCAGTAGAATAGAGACTCATATATTAACACTGCTTACCAACTACCACGCTTGCTGTGTGCCGGTGTGTGTATATATAGACACTCCTACCTGAATATATATTCCTGTACATAACCTGCACGTTTGTTTACTACATGGCGTAAAGTACACCCAGGGGCTGTGTATACCTATTTGCCACTAACGATGTACATAGTCGAAGATCCACTCACAAGAACTGTTCGATAGTGTACCGTAACAACCCTAACAAAAGCTAGGGGTGCTGCTATCAAAGGAGGGACTTTCTATTACAAGACAAGACCAGATGGTTGCATGGGTTGGAATGTAAACAAATGCAGATAGAACTTGCAGAATTTGACCATAATCCTATGTTTCTTAATATTTTAACATCAGTACAAAGAAAGTATAGATTCCAACATGGTTTATATGATAGATAACTGCCAAAACTGATGCCATTTATTCATATATGATATTATATCGCGAATATGAATCGGGACTTCATACTTGCAACAAGGATTATATACATAAGTCTGTGCTTCAGGTCGATTATTTGATAAGTATGAATGCATTACCGTATATGTTTTATTGTAATACGTCTTCATTTACCCTTAAAAAATGTTCCTAATATTTAACATATCATGGTAATAATACAAAAGAAATTCATTAAACATATGATGGTTTTAATACAAAAGAAATTCATTAAACATATGATGGTTTTAATACAAAAGAAATTCATTAAACATATGATGGTTTTAATACAAAAGAAATTCATTAAACATATGATGGTTTTAATACAAAAGAAATTCATTAAACATATGATGGTTTTAATACAAAAGAAATTCATTAAACATATGATGGTTTTAATACAAAAGAAATTCATTAAACATATGATGGTTTTAATACAAAAGAAATTCATTAAACATATGATGGTTTTAATACAAAAGAAATTCATTAAACATATGATGGTTTTAATGCAAATGAAATTCATTAAACATATGATGGTTTTAATGCAAAAGAAATTCATTAAACATATGATGGTTTTAATACAAAAGAAATTCATTAAACATATGATGGTTTTAATACAAAAGAAATTCATTAAACATATGATGGTTTTAATACAAAAGAAATTCATTAAACATATGATGGTTTTAATGCAAATGAAATTCATTAAAATCATTAAAACGGTGCTAATCTACCCCAATTGTGCCTGATCCTGTAAATCGTCACCCTGTCTGATCCTGCCTGATCCTGTAAATCGCCGCCCTGCCTGATCCTGCCCAATCCTGTAAATTGTCGCCCTGTCTGATTCTGCCCGATCCTGTAAATGGTCTAACAGCATTATCCCTACTGTATTCATCTTGCATATCAAATGATTGAAATAATGTAATGCTATGGGTGTTTTGTAGAGAACTGTGTTGTATTCAGTTGATTTAATCTCAATAATATGCTTGATCATATTCATATAGAGCTTGGAAATGACTGTTTCTACATTGCCACTTTTTGAAGGAGAATTTATGATTACTTTAGTCATACTTGTATGCTATATCTCTTTAATAACTGTTCAATGGCTTTATGATATTTGTATTTTTTCAGCTTTCTGTTTGCAGAAAATTGAAATGAAAATATTCCAAAGTTAAAGTTGTTTTATAATACAATTTGATAACATGGTAATAATTTCTTGCTTCATTCACGAAAGAAAATAATGTTAATAATGTGCATTACCTTCAGTATATTAACCACAAACTTTTAAATGTTTGCACCAATATCTTAGCCTAAGTAATTAGCTTAATTGTTTATCAATACATTTACTTGGCTTAATTAGCCCTATCACAGCAATATTTTCAACTGAATAAAGGTTGAGCTGAAACTCTTGAACAAACCAAATCTTTAATGCATTATTCAAAATTTTAAAATAAGAAATAATTTTGCATCTTCTGTATTATATCATCAAAGTGTTCCACTGGATTATTATTTTTCATTTTTATTTTTATACGCCCGTCATATAATGGTATGGCACCGTCCGTCCGGCGTAAACTTTTATTTGTCCGGAGATCTCCTCCAACATTTTTCAGTCAATCTTTATGAAACTTGGTAGGCTTAATCACCATAATATGAAATTGTGTTTTCCTGAATGGGGTTTTGATTAGACGATTTGAATAAGAGTTATGCCCCTTTGTTTATTTCACTATAGAAATTTTGTCCGGAGATCTCCTCCAACATTTTTCAGCCAATCTTTATGAAACTTGGTAGGCTTAATCACCATAATATGAAATTGTGTTTTCCTGAATGGGGTTATGATTAGACAATTTAAATAAGAGTTATGCCCCTTTGCTGTTTTGGATATTCACGGGTGTATTTTGTTCCGCTTTGCAGTACTCTTGTTGTTTTTGTTTTATCTTGTCCTGATATGTCTTTTCTCAGTTTTTACCAAATTCAAAAAAATATTTCCCCTATAGTGACATTTTGAATCCTTAATGTTACCATTTTCATATCACAAATATTTCTTTTGCTTGAGATCTATGGCTGTATGTTGCTCCACTCTGTTGTACTCATGTTATTTTGAGCATCAGGTTTTTACTTCTTGAATCATTGATTTTTATTACCAACTTGATAAAAATACTTATTTTGCAGTTGTGAAAACCACTTTAATACACCCTGCAACAGCCAAACACCTTTCAAAATACAGACAACAAAAGACTTTTGCCATATGTGAAACTGAAGAGATGTATAAAAATGTTACAAAACCATTTCTACAGGAACAGAAATTCAGTATACAAGTAAGTGATAAAACTTACATTTGAAAAAAAATTATTAGAAATCTATAATCCAAGTGCTTTACAATTTATTGTCATGCTTCATATCCAGAATAATGTGGTTTTAAAGAGTAGGAAGTAGTTAGAAAAGGACAACCTTGCGAACTAATCATGTAACACACATTTTAACATATTATCTTGAGCACTAGAAATAACATGTTGAGCGCTTGAGATAATAAGTCACGTACTCAAGATGATAATTGCAAATGTCCTAAATGTATTGCTGTAGATTTCAATGGAAGTTGAATGAATTAAAAATTGAATGTTATATTAAATGGATATTCTGCACAAGTTTGCGAATTTCTGTCTGTTTTAGTTTGTTTCATTTTAGAACTCTTTCTAATGACTCTTAAAACTTATCAGCATCAAAATATCTTTCCTGGTCAGGTCAGTTTGGACACGTGAAAGTGGTGGAAATGCTAACCAATATAAAATTACACTGTCTAAATATTGGACGTTGGGCAAGCTGGAAATCAATCACTTACTGTATCAGAGATTATAAGTGATGTATTGGTTTAATACAAACGTCTGTATGCTGTTTAAGTTCTGTTGGGATCAGAATTCTATTGCTTTGTTTAGCATATTTCTTTGTCAATTTTATAAAGTACACACAAATATTTAACACACTGGCTAATAAAAAGCAAACCTGTTGTGGCTCCATCATGGTTGAACTGTTTGCAGCTATATGTAGATCAATATGGAATTTCCACAAATTAAATATGTTATATTTGTTTATATGGTGAATTGAGGCATACAATATCAATAACAATGTACTTGAATTTTTCATTAAAAACACCTTCATATATAGCTCTAACTTGTGCTGAATTTCCCTATGAAATACACTTTTTTGTTTTACAGTTGTAAATTTACTCAAATTATGCTTTAAAACTCTAATTTATTATTTTATGTTGTTTTAAGTGGGTGTATAATATCTTGGATAAGAAGAGTGAATCAGATCGAATAGTTTTTGAGGATGCTTGTCCCAAGGATGGATTTGTTTTGCTACCAGACATGAAGTGGAACAGAAAGGATTTAAGCCAACTCTACTTGGTGGCTATTGTACACAACAGGGATATTTTGTCTTTGCGTGACCTCAACCACACCCATCTGCCAATGCTGAACAATATCCTTCATAAGGGAATGGTATGAAGAATAGAAAGATAGCTAATTATGTAACAGAGGTCTTTATTCATTTCAATGCCTCAACTAGGGATTGAACATGGGCCCACTGGCTCATGAGTCTAATGCTCAAAGGATCGAGCTGAAGATAAGTTCTCTCTAGTTATGAGTGTACCAGGGTAACATACAGATATACACTCCTCCTTCAGAAAAAAAAACTCATCCTCAAGTTGTCAAGGGTTACAAGGGTGCTTTTGATAATATATCATTTAGTGTAACTCCGGAGTCCCTATATGGGTGCCAATGTTACAGAGGTCATTATTCATTTTAATGCCCCATCTAGGTATTGAACTTCGGATCCCTGGCCTACTAGATAGTCTAATCCACCACCAGTCAAACTAAAGAGAAGTACTCTCTAGCTGCAGCTGGTATTTTACATCCTCTTTTAAGTCAATGTTATACCTTAAGAATATCTAACCAGATTTGATTCATATTTACCCCATAGTATCACATCATGTTCTACACCTTATCCTAATAGAGTGAAGATCAGTCAAATTTAGATATCCAACAGTCAGATTTGACAACTTTCATCAAACTACGATCTTGTGCATTTGAATTGGATATTTACTGTTGTTGTTACTCGTCTTAATTTCATATTCATTTCATGTGCTATAAACTGCTTATTAGAACATTGGTAGGTACATGATGGGTGTTGTTTTCTTAATGTTGTGATAATTATTGTTTCATGTTTTATAGAAAGTGTATTTTGATGTGTTTCTTTTTATCTCCGGAGAAACGCATTTGCGGAGGATATTAATTTGGGTTCTGTCTGTCTGTGTGTACGTACATACATCCTAATGTTATTATGGGCTATGTCTTCGAAACCATTGCATTCAACTCATGAAAACTTTCTGTATATAATAAGTTAATGCCCTAGATGTGCCTTTTGCTATTGACAACATTTCATTTATAGGTCATCTGATCCAAAGGGTCATGACCTATAGCCATTGAACTTCATCCATGGTTGTCCACCATGAGTAATCTTTTGACATTTCAAACTTCTTCTCTAGTTACAACAGTAGGATTGAGCTCAAACTTGCATGAAATGATCCTGAGATGGTCCTGACCAAGTGTCCGCCTGACCGCTGTGTTTGCCATCTTGAAAAACATATTTTAAACTTCTTCTCCAGTTCCACTGGTGTCATTGAGCTAAAAATTGGTGGGACAGGTAGAAAACAAAGTGTTGTTATTTTTCTACTTTATTTCTAAACTTTGATATGGGAGACCATTTTGTGACATGATTCCACAATCTTGGTTTTCCTGTGCAACACCTGTTTAAAACTTCTCAAGTTTCTCCAGTTGGATTGATCTCCAACTTTACTGTCAAAAAATAGGTAAGACTTGTTACAGTTACCTACTCCTCACCAAAACAAACATCTGCATCATGGAAAACAGCTTCATAGTAAGATTTCTTTCAAAGTAGAACAAATAACCCTTCTCCCTGCTGAAAGTTTTCGAAGTCAGATAACCGTTAAGGCCCATGGACCTCTTGTTTATATTCTTTCTGATACCAATGAGACAGTAAAAAAACACAAAACTAGTGTTAAATTTTCTTTCCGGCGCTACAAATTTGAAACCATTCCAATCAACTAAAAAAGACTTTCTGTATATATTTGGTTAGAGCCATAGTTCATTTTTTTTCTGTTACCATGGAAACAAATTACCCACGTCACAAATTTCAGTTTTTTTTTTCCTGGACTAGTCCTCTGAAACCGTTCAAGGTAATTGCTCAGGAATTTTTACACTTGTTAAGTTAGTACATATGTAGTATCTTTTGCTATTTAAAGACTTTTTCAGTTACCATGGAAACAGATAGGCCAAATAACAAAGTTCAGTTTTATCAGACCAGTTTTCTCTAACCGTTCAGGGTAATAAGCTGATACTCATAACTTTGTACAAGCATCAAGCTAATACCCTATTAGAAGTTCTCCATTTCAACACTTTGTATAGAACAATTATGAATAACAAATAGAAATTAGATTGTTGTAATACATGTAATATCATATATATATTATTTGATTGTGTGTCTTTCTTTTACACGGTGGGACGTAGGGGATAATGTTATGCTTTGCATTATCTTGTTGTTTTATGTTGCAGGAGGCGATCAGAAAGCAGTTTACAGTGATGCCCAGTAAGCTGCGAGTATATGTACACTATCAGCCATCGTATCACCATTTCCATGTACATTTCACTCACCTTGATCTAGATGCTCCAGGGTTTGAGGCTGACCGTGCCCATCTTTTACAAGACATTATAGATAATATCACAATTAAATCAGACTACTACCAGAAAAAAAGTATCGTGTTCAAACTTCGCGAATGTGATGGACTGTACATAAAGTACAAGGAATCTAGGTACTTTAATTAGTACTTTATTTTTATCAAATAATAAATCTAAATGAAATCTTGTTTGGTCTTCTAACCACCTGATTTTCATTTCGTAAATACTTTAAATGCCTCTTTTGTCTAACATTAAACCTAAGGTTTTAGATCACTTTTCACCACCACATAGATGTGATAAATTCATGGTCTCACAGGGAAATAGTAACTTTGAAAGCATTTTGAGTTTCAACACAATTAACCGAGACAGTTAAATCAAATTCAAATTTAACGTAAACTAAGAAATGGTTTGTTTACTGCCGAGAAAAGAAAATTTTCCCTGATGCTTTTAAATTGTCCCGAGTTATAATCTGCGAGCAGGTTTATATCTGAAAGCTATCGGTACAAAATCCATACTATTTGATAACGTGAATCTGTCGTCGGATAAAACCAGTACAATTGTAAGAAGCCCACGACGAGAACTACATCAAACTGAATAAAAAATTCCTGCTTTATGTGTTATCTCAGCGACCTTCTTCAAACCAGGTATATATTATTACATACCCTGTTTACTGCTAGAAATTTGCTACTTGTACAATTAAACAGAAATGCATAGTATTTGGATAACACTGCGTGATACTTTAAAATGTACTGTAGACGTCATTTTATGGAAATGATTATCTGTAAATGGTGTAATGATATAATCTTGTGTATTGATGTTGTACATTTATTTAACCTTTCATCCTTTCCAACCCAGTCTCTCTCCCCATACTCGCCCTTTCAATACCACTTCTCAATCATCACACTGTGTTGTAGAACTAATTAAATAAAAGGTCTGTATTAGTTTGTGTACCTTATTGATACTAAGAGCAATGATTACACAATATGGTACTCTCGCATCCAAACGTGATCAGGGATTCAAACGCTTATGTCTACACCTCTATTTCACATCCAAACAGCTCACTATATTATCTGTTGTAAGGCAACGATTGTTTGTTATATAAGTCGCTCAAAAAATACTACATCACATATTTGGATAGCATTCCAACCGAATAGAAAATATCACTGATCTTTAAGATGTTCGTACCAAACAGAAAACAGGGTGGTCGGGTGGCGCAGTGATAACGCACCGGGGTTCGATTCCCGGAAAGGATGTTAAAAGGTTAGGGTCACCTGCCTGACCACCTGAGTTTTCCATGGGTACTCCGGTTTCCTCCAACTGTAAGACCTCTCGCTCGCTTTCATCCAGGCCAACAAGGGTGGTTAAGTTGGAAAAACTTGTTTCGCAATTGTTGTAAAATAAATAAAGTTTATTATAACAGTAAAATTCAAAATAGATGTTCATTCTATAAACACTGCGGTCTTACCATACACGTCATCAAAAACTGTAAACAAAGTATGACCGATGGCTCCACAATACTAATGACCAGAAGGAGGGATCTATAGCAGAAAGCACAGCTATATCGATAGTATTACTAGTCATCCGATGCAAATACAGTATTTTGATTTACATATCGGGACGTAAATGATTGGATGGCATTTTTATTCCGATTGGATTGGAATCCGTGTGGCTAATATAGCAAAAAATGACAAAATCATAAAAAAAAACAACAAAAAAAAAAAAAAAAAACGCATATAAAAACGCAGTTTTGATGCAAAATTTGAGCTTGCCGCAATCTTGGAATGCGCGTACCATATGTTATGTACAGTGCTTATGACGTCGAACTTCTATAAGAAAATAATGACAGACAGTATATCCACATATACATAAAGATTATTCTGTTATGGTTGTCTACCTTGTACTTCTTTGAAGCAAAATAAAATATGCTTAAATCGGGAAAAAGACTGTTGAGTGATAATGGTTTGTGCCAGACGTGGTACAGCTCTATAGGAGGCTATGCTAATCTAGAATATGGAGATACTCGTGTATAGCATTTAACCAGGTCTCGTGCCAAAATCAATTAATTGTAAACCAACCTGAATACACACAGTAGCCTGAGATCTTGTGTGGACAAAACTGACTTTCCTTCTAGGAAGTAGTTATAATTTTTTCCCATTTGTATGATGCCATAACGTTTCTTTGGCATATTGATTGGACCTGTGGTCTCCTTGTTTGTGTCCTTAGTACAAATATTCATGTTTGACTTCATTTGTCAGCACTACCAACATATAATTTCCCGTTACAGCTGCCACTCCTGGCTCTCATCATGACTGCATTGCTGGTATTCCATGCAATAAACATTTTGTGCACAATATGATGTAGATATGCAGTGTCAGAATAATTAGCACTTCACGTTATTATCTGTAGTACTTTCGAACACACTTTCGACTGTACGTCAGCTTTTGCCCATTCATCTAATTTCGAAATTTCGTAGCTAATTCGGGTAGTTATTTGGCAATTGTCCAAATTCTTACTTGGATTCATAACATTAAATAACGCTTATTGCAACATGGTATCTTTGTCATTATAATCATTGTTTTCTCCAAGAATAGAATTAATGAATCTTTGATTTTAAAGAAAGCAAAAGGATAACATTGAATATCTTATCAGGAAAAATGTTGCTTCTATCATAACGTTTAATTGTTAAGTACTTCCAACACGAAGGTTCGTATTTCAAAGAAAGAAAATAGTACGTTGTGTGGAAAACAAGAAAAAGCCAATGAAAGATACGGTATACTGAAATCATGAGAATTAATAAGATACCTTTTGACAGAAATATGTTTTGATTGATGGCAAACAAAATTGACAGATATGATACCTATCTAAACAAATTCCAGTTATCTTGAGTGGTTGGATTTCCTGATGTGATGTAAGGACGTATTGCAGAGACATTGCCAATATATGTAAATTGCTTTTCAGACGTCGCAATATCTTCAGTTGAGAAAAAATGTATGTATAACATCAACTTCGATCGAACATGCAATACCCTCCTTTATTAACTTACAGACATTACATCCAGCTTTTACCCGACTCTTTACTAACAACGTGAAGAACAACTTGCCGCCGAGGTACGAATGGTATTGCTAGTATTTTGGAGTTTTTCATTTCTTAGTCATTAATTGTCTCTTTTTCTTTTCTCTCGAAATACAATGTTTACATGTGGTTAGAGCTTACACACCCTAGGACCTGTAAGCTCGCGATGGAAAATAATTACTTGCATTATGTTTGGCAAGATGTCCTATGATCGTACATGTATGCGAAGACAAAAGCTGGTACTCTCTCAAATTTGAAAATGAAACTAAAGTTTAAAGATAACAACGTTAGCTAAAATTAACCATCAAAATATCAGAAGATATGAGAAACAAGACAGCATTGATAGAAATGTTATTTTATTGCGTAGACTTAAAGGAATATTAGTAAATTCTTCATGGTTATCTACGTGATCTGCAATAAAAGAAACAAAATATTATAATTGCGGTATTCCAAAATGATGTTGAATAGTATCTTAGATTTTTATTTTATATCAAATCTAGCTGTAATTTGACGGAACAAAATACCGTATTATTTTGTTAACTTGTATAACAATGATGTATATTTCTCAAAAAGATAGATGTTTTTCTAGAAGTTTTGAATATATTACCTACCACCAAAAAAGAAAAGTGCAAAGTTGCAATCATAGCAACATTTCGTGCTGTATTATGATATAAATTTCACATTGGCACATGAACTAAGCATATTTCCAATTGCAAGAAACATCATTTTACCTAATACTTGGGTGATGGTGGTGAGGAAAAAGGGGCGTTCAAGTAGTTTGAAACTCCACTGTTACTACTGAACTGTGCAGTCGGATAATACGTTGGTAAGTTCATACTTGAGACTGAATTGAAGCTTGGGTAGTTCCACTGGGCTGCTTGGGCATTGCTAACGTACGTTGCTGGGGTATATGTCGAGTACACTGTTGGGATACTGCTACTGCTACTGTACGTTGCTGGGGTATATGTCGAGAACGCTGTTGGGGTACTGCTACTGCTACTGTACGTTGCTGGGGTATATGTCGAGAACGCTGTTGGGATACTGCTACTGTACGTTGCTGGGGTATATGTCGAGAACGCTGTTGGGGTACTGCTACTGTACGTTGTTGGGATATATGTCGAGTACGATGTTGGGGTATATGCCGAGAACGCTGTTGGGGCACTGCTACTGTACGTTGTTGGGGTATATGTCGAGTACTTTGCTGGCATGGAAGAAGTTGAGTATGTTTGTATCGGTACGCTATAAGAAGCAGGATTACTTGAGTACACTGTAGCCGAGGATCCCACATTTAATGGATATGAGTAAGATGTTTGGTACGAGGCCGGCATTACATTTCCGCTTCCAAACACTCCTGTCATAGTGTTAGGCGCAGATCTATACGTCGTTGAGGTGGTTGATTTGGGAAACGTGGCCATTCCTCCGGCCAGGCATCCCAGCAATACCAGCGTCAAAAACAGCATGTTGAACACTGTTAACAGGATGTATATGTAATTAAAGAAAAAGAAAAGGATGATCGGTAGCAAACCAATCTCATATTGAAAGTTTTTTTTTTAATTCTGAATAAATGAACATGAATTATCGTTAGCTTAATGAAATCGTGCCAACAGTATTGTTAGTTCAGAACAGCATTTTATATCAATGAATGCATACATTCGAGAGAATAACACACTTCGATACAAGATTGGAAATATAAGCGTCATCATACAGCTGTTTCGTCCTTCTAGGACTCGACAGTGATGCTACATCATACAGCTGGTTCATCCTTCTAGGACTTGTCAATGATGCTACATCATACAGCTGTTTCGTCCCTCTAGGACTAGTCAGTGATGCTAAGGTCCTAAATTTGAAAACCGGGCTACTATTCGAACGAATTAAGACGTGTTAAAAAGTCCATTTACAACGATGCAATACAGTACCATCACACGTTGTAATAAAGTTTGTAGGGGATGAAAATAAATAAATTAAAGTAGCATACCAATAAAAATAATACTTGGTTATCGATATGTAATAATTACAGAAACAACACGCGTGAAAACAATTCAATAAATAATAGTAAAATATATTGCGAGCAAAAATATTTGTGTCTCCAGGGAAATTGATTTGATCATGTTAAGATCTATAGGAATGAAGGTAGACTCTGCACAAATGAAGACCTTAGCAGTATGCTATCTTGTAATATTTGTGATATGTCAGCACCAGTCTCGTATTCCGCTGATAGAATCACCGCTTAAAACATGGCGTTAGGTATTAAGTTAGAAGTGAGAGATACCTATAACCATATCATTTCTTATCAAGAATTTATTGTGTATCTTTCAAAAACACAAGAAATTTTTGAAGTTTGATGAACGGAAGTTTGCAATTATCTATCACGTTCCACAGAAATCATAATAATTATATATAACCTCAGTTAGAGCACAGAACCATAAGGCGGTTTATCAGGCGAAACATCTATACAAATAAAGTAACTTATTAGTACTGAATATCGATCCTTTAGCTGAATTCATCATACTGACCAGATGTTTCAAACGCAATAAAACATATTTCCAGAGAAAGCCCCGAGAGTAACCTATATATCGGAATTATGTTTCTGTTGTGATGATTTTAGAATGTGCGGTAAGTGGGATTACTTTCTCGATGCAACTTAAGATTTCAGAACGACAGCGAATTTAACAACATCGTAGTATTATACCGAAAAAAATCATTTAGACAGATTTAACGGCCAAATTCACAAATTTAAAGATTCAGGATGATAGAAAATATTTAATTTATGATAAGCTACAAAAGTCACAATATAATTCAATCAATATTTACATTCTCAAAGCCATTGATAAAACAATTAAAAATGATAATTAATTTTCTGATAACCTATCATTCTCAAAGCCATTGATAAAACAATTAAAAATGATAATTAATTTTCTGATAACCTATCATTCTCAAAGCCATTGATAAAACAATTAAAAATGATAATTAATTTTCTGATAACCTATCATTCTCAAAGCCATTGATAAAACAATTAAAAATGATAATTAATTTTCTGATAACCTATCATTCTCAAAGCCATTGATAAAACAATTAAAAATGATAATTAATTTTCTGATAACCTATCATTCTCAAAGCCATTGATAAAACAATTAAAAATGATAATTAATTTTCTGATAACCTATCATTCTCAAAGCCATTGATAAAACAATTAAAAATGATTTTGATATTTCTGATAACCTTTTCTCAAAGCCATTGATAAAACAATTAAAAATGATAATTAATTTTCTGATAACCTATCATTCTCAAAGCCATTGATAAAACAATTAAAAATGATAATTAATTTTCTGATAACCTATCATTCTCAAAGCCATTGATAAAACAATTAAAAATGATAATTAATTTTCTGATAACCTATCATTCTCAAAGCCATTGATAAAACAATTAAAAATGATAATTAATTTTCTGATATTCATTCTCAAAGCCATTGATAAAACAATTAAAAATGATTTTGATATTTCTTAACCTTATTCTCAAAGCCATTGATAAAACAATTAAAAATGATAATTAATTTTCTGATAACCTATCATTCTCAAAGCCATTGATAAAACAATTAAAAATGATAATTAATTTTCTGATAACCTATCATTCTCAAAGCCATTGATAAAACAATTAAAAATGATTTTGATATTTCTGATAACCTTACATTCTCAAAGCCATTGATAAAACAATTAAAAATGATAATTAATTTTCTGATAACCTATCATTCTCAAAGCCATTGATAAAACAATTAAAAATGATAATTAATTTTCTGATAACCTATCATTCTCAAAGCCATTGATAAAACAATTAAAAATGATTTTGATATTTCTGATAACCTAACATTCTCAAAGCCATTGATAAAACAATTAAAAATGATAATTGATTTTCTGATAACCTATCATTCTCAAAGCCATTGATAAAACAATTAAAAATGATATTTTTGATAACCTTACATTCTCAAAGCCATAAATAAAACAATTAAAAATGATAATTAATTTTCTGATAACCTATCATTCTCAAAGCCATTGATAAAACAATTAAAAATGATATTTGATATTTCTGATAACCTAACATTCTCAAAGCCATTGATAAAACAATTAAAAATGACAATCAATATTTCTGATAACCTAACATTCTCAAAGTCATAGATAAAACAATTAAAAATGATAATTATTTTTTCTGATAACATTACATTCTCAAAGCCATAAACAAAACAATTAAAAAAGATGATAATTAATATATCTGATAACCTACCATTCTCAAAGCAATTGCTAATACAATTAAAAACGATAATCAATATTTCTGATTGCCTAACATTCTCAAAGCCATTGACAAAACAATTAAAAATGATAATTAATATTTCTGATAACCTACCATTCTCAAAGCCATAGATAAAACAACTGAAAATGATAATTAATATTTCTGATAACCTACCATTCTCAAAGCCATTGATAAAACAATTAAAAACGATAATTAATATTTCTAATTGCCTAACATTCATAAAGTCACAAATGAAACAATTCAAAATGATAATATTTTTCACAACCAGCGAAGTACACAGTAAAAATTAAAAACATGTGATACAAAAATGAATATTTCTGATAATCTGACCACCTCAAAGTGTCTAAAAACAAGAAAGGGTTAAACAAAACCCAAAATATTTAGGATTTCAACGTTCTCGTAGTCGCCTATTAAATACATCTCATTTTCAGTATAAGTACATATATATCATGGACGGTACATATATGTCGTCATTGATATTGATGTTTCGGTGCATGTTTTAATATTGCACTAAGTAACAACTTTCCAATAATTCAGATGGCGATGACTTATTTTTAAAAAACATTCCATGTAGTGATTGCCTTTAGTGTATCGTTGAGTCCTTCCATTCATACATTTACCGATAAATAAATATATCAGAATAAGACTTCTACGATTGTCATAGACAATACTAACACAGTTATAAATGCAACAAGGTGTTGCTATCTGTTCAATGCATGTATATGAGCATTATCTTTCACAGTTAGTTATGGTTAATGTCTTAGAGATGATATATATAATTTTATATCTTGCAGCAGAACTTACCTTAACTTTTGATGTGGATAAGAAGGTGCTTTTCCAAGGTCTTCAAGAATCTTTCAGTAATGGACGGCGTGTATGGCTCCTTATAAAGGATTGCGTGGAGGAAATTTGTCATCAATTACCAGTGCTATGTAATAAGTCGACATCGATCACTTTCAGACAATTAGATTTTTAAGGAAACATTGCAAATAGTAATTGATCAAACCCCATTGTAGAAGATCACCAGTTCATATTAAGTTTTTAAATGTTGATTTCCGTTTTTGAAATAAATCAAACACGTACGATGCAATTCATGCATGGGCTTTTAGACCGCATGTAAAACCGATGTTGTGTGACGGGTGCATGCGTTACGATCACAAAAGTTTCTGACTGATAAGATAAAGTATGAATTATATCTGTATAATGAATCGGCCTGTGCTCGTCTCCTAAATACCTTAAATATGTTGTTTAGGGTATTACAGAGTATCTGAGGTCACCGGGATATAACATATACCATTCTATTCTAATTAGGGCTCTGCATTGAAGGTTTTAGGTTTTTATTTCAGATTCCTTATCATGATAAACTGCTGTTATGTAATATGAGTTCAAGATGTTTCTTTAGACTGTAGATATCTGTTGTGTCCAAGGTTTGATAAACAGATCGTCTCTCGGTCAGGCGAAAAAGTGTTTTCTTCTACTGTAAGTTATAAAAGCTGGTGGTAATCTTGTAAGTTTCTTTTAAAGTTAACCTGCGTGTGGATTTTTGTCAGGAAACGTAGTGATTTGGAAGCAATACAGCTTTGTTAATGAAATGAAACTAAAACTAAAACCAAATTTCATCCAATATACTTACCATCTGGATTCAGGGTGTCAGCATGTGTAGAGCTAATACTATGAATATCTACTATTTTCCTATTACTTTAATCCTTATGCGGAAATGATGGGTTGCGATAGAATTACGTGAACAAAATATCATTTGACGCAGTTTCATCCGTTGTTTGGCTCTACTGTATCTAACTCTAAATCATTAAAAGGTGCTATTCAGTTGTGTGTCCTTTGTACAATCTTTGACCTTCAGACTCTACTCTTTACTGAACCAATTCAAATCTACAGAAGATTATTGTCAAGAATTAATTATTTTGGATTGACCAAGATTGATATGGTATCGTCAATGAAGCAGAGACGATTACCTTTCTGGAACACCTGATCTTGTTTTCCTTGTACTTTTCAGGGTCTCTTTCTTAGTCAATTTTTACTGTCGTTTTACGCATTTGCAATTTTTATTGAGATTTTATTAACTTGTCAATGTGTCATGTTGTTCTTGTGATATCATAATGATTAAATGATGTTTAATTTAATATTAAAATTTAGTAATATT